ATCTTCATTTGCCTTGGTTATGTCTGTGTGGACCATCAATAGCATTTCTTCGTCATTCTCGACATAGTTGGCCTCTCTTCTTTGGTTTGAATATTCCCAACTGAAATGTCCAAGTTAATGACACGTGTAGCACTCCATAGTAGATTTGTCAAAGCCTTGTCTACTGTGTCCTTGGCCTCGTCCCCGTCCGCGTCGTCCAAAGCCTCCACGACTTCCACGTCTGCGTCCCTATTCTGCATGAGCAATCTGCAGGGTCTGCTCTTCTTCCACATGAGACGTCATGCAGAGTTCATGTAGAAGGAGACTACTTTGTAATTCATCAATAGTCAAAGTGTCTGTATCCTTAGACTCCTCAATGGAACACATAACGTAATCAAACTTGTGAGTCATTGATCTCAGAATTTTCTCAACAACTGCAACATCACCTTTGTTTTCACCATTTGCCTTCATCTTGTTGGAGATAGTAAGTATCCGGGCAAAATAATATTTGACAGATTCTCCCTCCTTCATGTGGAGAATTTCAAATTCTCTTCTGAGAGCTTGCAACTGTGCACGCTTGACCCGTGAAGTGTCGTGGTACTTTTGTTTCAAAGAATCCCATATATCCTTTATTGTATCCTTGTTGAGAATTGTTTCCAGGACTGAACGATCCAATGCTTGAAATAGGTAGTTCTTTGCCTTCAAATCTTTTAATTTTTTTATCATCAATGTGTTTCCTCTGTACTTCGGTAAGAGGTGTTCCTGCTGCTGATTCAGGAATGCCATTTTGCAGCAGCCCCCAATACTCCTTTGAATGCAAGAAATTCTCCATAAGCATAGCTCAGTAATCGTAATGCCCATCAAATTTTGGTATGGAGGGCTGCACAAACGAACTTTCCAATGTCATTGCATGTTATGCTTAGAAGACTGCTGCTTCTACTTTGGATCAGGCCCGTGATAGAGCTTTGATAACAGAATGTTGGAACATACGTAAAAGATAAAGATGCAGAAAGAATGAATTGTACTCTCTCTGTTTTATTGAAGAATAAATCTGACTAATTTATAACCTTACATAAGAATGAAAAACTGCAAAACTACCTACGCGCATATGGTGCGCTGTTTCCTAATAATGCGATGGACTTATTCAAAACATAACTGTTCCTAAAAATATGAAAACACATCACACACTAACATGAAGAAATCACCTTCTCCACTTCTGCCATAACGTTCTAAGAGCTCATTCTTTAATTGCTCCCACGTCAAATTGGTGTGTTTGTCGATAAGAGACTTGAAGAAATGGATGGTCAAGTCCTCCATACAAAGTTGTGCCAAACTCACCTTGATATCAAGATGAGTTCCCTCTACTTGGAATTGGACTTCAGCATGAACAACCCATTCTACTGGTTCATCGTCGTTGAACATCAGCAGCTCCACCTTCTTGACAGATTGTCATAATTCATCAAATGACTCGTTGTTGGGGCCATAATTCACATCAACAAATTATTTGGAAGCTTTAGTTAAGATAGTAGGTGTAGGGACTCGTATCATTCCATGATGATAAGTTGCACTTGATCTTTTTATGATTATGAAACTTTGGTTCGCTAGGTATAGTTGGATTCTTCACTAACCTTTAGCATACAAAAAAAATTAATAATAATAATAGGAGACTGACATTCTAATAGAATTGCAACTTTAGAATCATTGATAATAGGGCAAAATCAATCCTCACCTCCTTGGGATAAGATATGACATGAGTTCATGCTTTTGGAATGAGTTCATGCTTCAACTCTGATTTTTTCTTCTTCCACCAACTTTAGTGGAGAAATATACGAGAAATCAATATTTAACGAAGAATGCATAATAAATCATAACAGTAATATCTAGATAGAAATCAACAGTGTACCTTTTTTTTGTCTCTCCCTTTCCAATTTGTAGTTCAACTTTTCTACCACCTGCATGATTAAACAGTCATCAAATTATGTTTCCATTTCTTAGAATCCACGTATTCTTTCAAAAATGAAAGATAACTCAATAAAAATGGACTAGTTATGCATTCAACAATTAAAATTACCCCTTGAAGCTTAAAACACAAGTACTTGAACAAAACTAACAAAAATAATGTTAATACACGATATAAAAAAGTGGAAAAGTACAATAATAATGAGAAGAAAAAAAAGAATTAATACTCGTACATCTTTGTTAAGTTTTAGGTCAATAGGCCTTACGCTTTCTTTCACTGTAGGTTAAACCAAGCATTGAAGTAGTAGCATTAAAGAATGTCAAATAATTTGTTATTAACATTGCAATCTGAAACCAAATATGTCATTGGATTGGATTAATGAGTTATTGTGTGTTTGAACCATAACATAGTCATAAAATTAGAGATGGGATTTCAAATTTTGCTAATGAGATATAGTTGTTTGTATTGGTTTGATTTGTTTAAATTAGTCAATCGACTAATTGTTTAGCTAGAAGCATAAACGGGCAATTGCGCGAGTAACTTCCAAAATTCACAAGGATCATGGGTTGTTATGGCGAGTTTCTTTTCTTTCTTCAATTTTTAAAAGTTTTAATTAAAAAATTGTGATAAATTGTAATGATCTAAGCCATTAAAATATCTAATGATAAGGATGAATTTACTTTACTTTCCGAAGAGAGAATGCTTCTTTTAGAAGAGTCAAATCTAATTTTTACATTAATACGATATTTTGTTAAAAAATATATTAAAAGAAACTGATTTGATACCAAAAAAATTGTTTTTTAAGTAGTTATCATTTTTTATTATGTTTAATTTTTTAAAGAATAAAAATTTGGACAAATTAAAAGGGTAGGAAAAAAAAGATAAATAATAAATATGATATAATTTTATTTATTATTGTATTATTTTGGTTTTCATTTTCTTAAATGTTGGACAGGTGAGGCCGATTGTGATTTCCTTAAGACATGATAATCATGGTCTTATGGACCATCTCAGAAAATTTTTCCTTTCAATATATAAATTAAATTGCTAAAATTTTCTTCCGTTTTCTACTGCTTCTCTCTCTCTCTCTCTCTCTCTCTCTCTCTCTCTCTCTCTCTCTCTATATATATATATATATATATATATATATATATATATATATATATATATATTTCTAACTTCTCAAGCAAAGTCCATTCTTAGTTTTAAAGCATATGAAAAGCAGTATAATTATGGTGGTCAATACCTAAACGCACATGAAAATCCCGGCTATGATCCCTGTCAATAATGATATTTCGAATTCAATTTTTAAAATTTGTTGCTTTCTAATAATAAAAAGAATTTTGTTAACATCAGTAATAAGTAAAATAGTTAATAATAGTAAAAGTTTATTAGAAAAAAATATTTATTATATTTTTATAATTCTAATATAATAATTGTACTTTTTTATATAAATTTTTTATTTATGAATATTTAAAAGTTAAAGTTAACAAAATTCTAATAAAAAATATAGAGAAATTGCAACGTATTCAAATTCGAGCTAATTTCATCAGGGAAAGGAACTTTTTCATAAACGAAAAAGGAAATGCAATGCGCTTATGTTAAAAAACTACAGAGAACATAGATGTTATTTTACTCAACTTAATTTACTCCAGTGCACAACATAATACTTCGATAATAGCGGTTTTAAACTGTAAAAACAAATGAGATTTTTATTGGAATTTGAACTTATTATAATACGAAAAAGAATTACATAAAAATATTTACAACATTTTTTTCAGTAAAGTTCATCAAGCTAGCTAGCTAGTTTTTATGCTTCTTCTTTCATGACATAAAAATTCAAATCATCATTATTATGCAGAGCACAATGACAAAATGAAATAAGGGATGGAATACCAAAAATGAAAATTATAGACAATGCCTGCAGCTTCAAGCCTGTGTCCTGTGGATGTGACAACTAAAACTACACTCGTACTTTATATTATTAATTTAGACATGATGGAAAAGTTAGACCTAAAACTATGATATATATCTTGAACTTTAAACATTATGAGAGTTGAAAAGTGTGATGAAAGGCATCAACTACGTTTTTTAATTTCCCCCTTCCCAGTTAGTACCTTTCACCTAAAGTTCTTATGATCTATTTAATTTATAATCAATCATCTTTACGTCAATCGCACATTATTTACATCTAATGCATATTCTTCCATTTCCATGCATATGGTACAACTAATGGAATGCACCCAACACGGGAATTTCTTAGTTTACAACTCAAACAATTTATCATGTTCTTAAATTAATAGACACAGAAAAGTTAATTACAATCTAGGAAGGAGGTAGTGACACAGTGTGCTGCTTCAAGTTGAAGTTGACACACAGAAAAAGGAATTGCGGAAAAACGCGTGGATTGCGCGCATAAGCTGTAAACCTCTCCTTGCCAGTTGCATTGGTCAGAGAGAAAAGAAAACCACGACCTCATGGGCATTTCCGTAACCTCACTTCAATTTCCATCCAAAAATCATATTAGCGTACGTAATTTGATAATTCAAAAAATAAGACGTTTAAATTAAAATCATATAAAAAATCAAAAAATAACATACACGTACAAGATATGTGATAAAAATATTTTATGAAAGTAATAAATTTTTTTAAATAATATAAATCAAACATGTGATGCAAATATTTACTATTATACTGTTAGAGTATATTTGAATAATAAATTTAATTAAAAATTTATTTAATAGTTTTTAAGTAGATATATGATATAAATTTAATAATAAAAACTTTTAAAAAATTATAAAATTTATTTTAATAAGTTATATTAAAAATGTTGTTATAAGTTCTTTTTTTTTTCTTCAAACATTTTTAATAGTTAATTATGTGCATTTATTTTATTACAAAGATGGTTTTGTGTGACGTGGATATTTTATTGAAACTGAGAATGTAATGAAGGTTCTTGACACCGACCGCAATCGTGTCCATTTTGGTAATAACATGTTGGGAAGGTGGATTTTCGTTGGGTATATATATATAACCTTTGTCACGCTCTTTTTCCACATACCACACATATTTCTTCTTTCTCTCTCCCTTAGTCAAAGGGATTCATTCTCCTTCTTCCAAGGTAAGATTTTCACACTCCCATTCCCTGATTTTGCTGTGTCATGTATCTTGTTTCTTTGTTTGAAATTTGTGTGTGTGTGTGGTGTGGTTTGTTTTGTGGTGATTGATGGGTTTGGTTTCTGATTTGTGTTTAAGTGACATGGATCTGTGTTAATTTTCACTATCTTATGTTGTACTGTTGTTCAATTTCGATGCTGTCGTGGGATTTTGTTGGTGGGTTTTGGCTGTCAACTAGTTGTCAAGTAAATTGATTATGGATCTGTTGGGATCAGTTGTTTTAAGCATTGAATTGACGTGCATTTAGCTCATGTTTCTGCACTTGTTGCTAGATCTATGTTTGTCTGAATGGTCAACCTATAGTTATGCTGAAGGTTTATCATCAAAATTTGCATGCGTGTGTTAGATCTGTTTTCTCATCCAGCTCTTATATAAGTTCCTGTTTGATCCATGTGATCATTTTCATCTGTTATATAGATCTTCTACCTTCGTTTAATCTGATTTCTTGTTTTCTGATATAAAACATTTCACATGATGTTGATTCCAAAATGTCGGGAAAGCATAGTTTAGTTTTCCTCCCTGTTGGAATGGTGTAACATGCAGTTCTTTTGGTTATTTGTGGCCAATTCTTAGATCCTCATGATGGTAAGATGGAACAAAAGGATGGTGCCTGATATGATGATGACTCAAAATGAAGTGAATCTACAATTTGAGCTCATTGAAATTGAATGAAACTAACCTTCATAATGTATTTCTTGGTGTATACAGTTTCTTGAGATGTTATTTCTTTAAATTCATAAAAACATAAGTAGCTATTCTTGTCTCCATGTTCTCCAAATTGATAATAGCTGCAGTTTGCACACTCTAATGATGTCTATATAATGTTGTGTTAATACTATAATGCAAAGTATCAAAGAGGCTTCTATTGCATGCTTCTGTACATACTAATCAGTTTGAACATAGGTTATTTTGCAAAGCAAAATGGTGAAGATTTGCTGCATTGGTGCTGGATATGTGGGGGGTCCTACAATGGCAGTCATTGCACTTAAGTGTCCAAGTATTGAAGTGGCTGTTGTTGATATCTCTAAATCCCGCATTGCGGCCTGGAACAGCGACCAGCTTCCTATCTACGAGCCTGGTCTTGACGGTGTTGTAAAGCAGTGTCGTGGCAAGAACCTCTTCTTCAGCACTGATGTTGAAAAACATGTCTTTGAGGCTGACATAGTGTTTGTCTCTGTCAACACCCCAACGAAAACTCAGGGTCTGGGAGCTGGCAAAGCTGCAGATCTGACATATTGGGAGAGCGCAGCTCGCATGATTGCTGATGTCTCAAAGTCTGACAAAATTGTGGTGGAGAAATCGACTGTCCCTGTCAAAACTGCTGAGGCAATAGAGAAAATTCTGACTCACAATAGCAAGGGAATCAAATTCCAGATTCTATCAAACCCAGAATTCCTTGCCGAGGGAACCGCAATCCAAGATCTCTTCAACCCAGACCGGGTTCTTATTGGAGGCAGGGAGACACCAGAAGGCCAGAAAGCTATCCAAGTATTGAAAGATGTTTACTCTCAATGGGTACCCGAGGAAAGAATACTAACCACAAATCTCTGGTCTGCTGAGCTGTCTAAGCTTGCTGCTAACGCCTTCTTGGCCCAAAGGATTTCATCTGTTAATGCCATGTCAGCGCTTTGTGAGGCTACCGGGGCAAATATTCAACAGGTGTCCTATTCAGTTGGTACAGACTCAAGGATTGGACCCAAGTTCCTCAATGCTAGTGTTGGTTTTGGTGGATCCTGCTTCCAGAAGGATATCTTGAACCTTGTTTACATCTGTGAGTGCAATGGCCTTCCAGAGGTGGCAGAGTACTGGAAACAAGTTATCAAGATCAATGATTATCAGAAGAGCCGTTTTGTGAACCGTGTAGTTTCATCTATGTTCAACACAGTTTCAAACAAAAAGATTGCTATTCTGGGATTTGCCTTCAAGAAAGACACGGGGGATACAAGGGAGACCCCAGCTATTGATGTATGCAAAGGACTACTTGGTGATAAAGCCAACCTGAGCATATATGACCCACAAGTAACCGAGGACCAAATCCAAAGGGATCTATCAATGAACAAGTTTGATTGGGACCATCCTATCCATCTGCAGCCCACAAGTCCCACAACTGTGAAGAAAGTCAGCGTGGTTTGGGATGCCTATGAAGCAACAAAGGATGCACATGGCCTTTGCATTTTAACTGAGTGGGATGAGTTCAAGACTCTTGATTACCAGAAGATATATGACAACATGCAAAAACCAGCATTTGTTTTTGATGGCAGAAACATTGTGGATGCTGATAAGTTACGTGAGATTGGCTTCATCGTTTACTCAATTGGTAAGCCACTAGATCCATGGCTCAAAGACATGCCATCTGTGGCATAAAATAGATCATTGCTCAAGTACACTGGCATATCAGTCAGGTATAGAGGCAGTCAGTTTGATTCTTTATTATTTTTTGTTCAGAGTTTTTCTTTTCCTCCTTAACTTTCTCACAGTAGTTGACATAAATGAGTATAAATTGTGGGAAAGTAGGAGGCTCTATGTTTTACGTTGCTTTGTACTTCAATCTAGTGCACGGCTGTTATGAATGTACTAGGGAAACATGTTTTGTTTGATTAATCTTCTCTTAATATTATATTGATGTAAGTTTTGAAATTTTGAGAAAAACACTTGGGCTTAATGTTAGCTTCAAAGGAAAAGTTGGGGTGACAAGAAGGGTAGAGTAAGAATTTATCTATTTTTCAATAAATTTTAATTGGTTAAAATTGCAATATGTTTCAAATTGAATTAATAATCAATACACCTTGATTTCTGTACTTGTAAAACAAGTCTACTTTAAATGAGGTGCATATTTCCTCTGTTTGAGGGTCATTGGTCATACCTTTGTAGAAAAGATATTTGAAGGGGACCCGTTAGGCCCAAAGACCTGATCACTTGACTTAAACCTCCATTTGTTGTTTGGACCAAATATAAAAACCTCCATTCAGGTCAGCTTCTCAGGAGCTTCGATTATTTTACTAGGCATCTTTGGTGAACATATATCGACTCAAAATAACTTTGGTGAACACTTTCTTGCATTGGTTTATATATCTTAGAATCCCTTCAGTAGGATCATGTAATCGATGGATGAACCCAAATAAATAAAAAACTATTTTACGATCAATGAAGTTAGATCAAGTAATACATAGATGATTCCTATTATTAAGTAAGGTCTTCGATTCAAATTATGTGTATGAAAAAATTTGTTGCTGGGAGAATTAATCCTACTAGAAAATCTCGCTTGTGTCCACTGGGTAACTACCGTTATTATCCTAACACAAGAATTGAGAAGTACATATGGTGGATTTTCTAGTGACTAGTGGTAGAACTTGACCAAATATTTGGAGCAACAAAGCAAAATTACAATCAATGAGGATGCACCCAAGTTTTACAACATTTCAGTAATAAATAATATATTTATTAGGAAATTAATATATGAATATGAATATGAATACATTCATTTTTCTGGTCTATAAATATATTCATATTTGAACAAATGAAGAAAGTTAATAGATTAGCTAGCAAATATGAGCTGCAACCATCAATTTGCGTCTATGATATTAAATAACAAAATTTGACCCAATTGAAAGTTCGAGTCCGATGAATGTAACTTGAATATTTGGTGGCCGAATTTGTCAATTATCCCCAATGGAAAATGTATCAAAAATAAAAATTGACCCAACTTAGAGCATTGATTATCTTTTTAGAATTCGGCCTCCTTCAGTCCCCAAGAAAAAGAAAAAACAGAGTCGAATATCACATCAACGTATAAAAGAACTTATTTATATTTATAAAATAATTTATACCATTATTATTTATTTATATTTTATTTTAATTAGTTTCATAAGAAATTATAAGTAATCCTTTAAAACTTATTTTAATCATAATCAAACTGGTAAATAAGTTGTTATTTAATCAAAATAATTACCTGAATTGTTTAACTGTAATCATACATTTGTTGGAGTGATTGTAAGTTTTTGCCTTTCAAATTTCAAAATAAAATGCATTTGACTAAAGCAGAATTAAATTAAGTTCAAAACCATTTTAACCTAATCTTTTTAATTAAAATTTTATTTATTAGTTGTAAAAATAATCCATTTAATATAAAGTTCTTCTTTCCACATGTTATCTTCTTGTTATAAATGTTATCTTTCATATTTGAAGTTATTAGAACGTGTCATGTCTTGAAAAACACGTCAAGATATTATTTTTTAGTAACATCAATAATCAGTTTATATCTCTTTTTGATTTGATTCATTCTAAAGTTTAGGGTATTAATTATATTCGTTAGCTTTTAAAATAAGTATTACCTTACTTTTATTGATAATTTTTGAAGATATATTTAGTTATTTTCGCTTTATTGTTTCTTTATTATTATTATTATTATTATTATTATTATTATTATTATTATAATTACAATTATTATTGTCACTATTATTGTAAATTATTATTTTTTATTAATGTTACTAATATTAACATTATCATTATTGTTATCATGGTTATCATAACTGTTATTTTCTTACCACTATTATATTATTATTATTATTACTACTATTCTTTTCTTTATTTTTATTGTCACAACAATCACCATCATCAATTACCATATAATAATAATTATTATTATTATATTCATCTCAGTTATTATTATTAGTTTTAAATAATTAAAATTATTTATTACTATTATTATTATTATTACCAACCTTATCAATATCATTATTTATATTAGTCTTGGACTATCATTATTATTGTTACTACGGCTGTTAACCTTCTCGATGTGGTTATCTCGTGTAGAGATTATCCTCGTTATAATGAAATATCATTTTTATTATTGCAGTGTTGCTATCTCACTTCTGATATTGTTTTCACAACTATTATCAAACATTGATTGACACCACAACAATTTTTGTTGCCATTATGTTTGCCAATAGTGGTCAACAACTTCATGGTTACCTTACCTTGCTAATCTAATGCCATCCATACTACTTCAAATTTAACAAAATTTTACTTGATATTTTTTTTTATATTACTTTGATTTCTCCTTCATACAATATTAGGGATAATTTGTGTAATAAAAAAATGTGGTGTTATATTATACTTATTAAAGGAGATTTGTGAATAATAAAAAAAATATGAAGTGAAATTTAGTTATTTAATATAATAAAAATAAAAATTATATAACACTTTTTTATGACAAATTTTTGTATCTTTTTTTCATCAGGTTAATTATTTAATCTCACACTTCTTTTCTTTTCTTTATTATTTCTATTTGTCATAAAAAAAATTGTACAAATATACATTTTAAAGAGATAATAACCAAAAAAGAAAATCATTGTGTGTTTTACTAAATTATAATTGTTATTGTTATTGTTCTTTTCATGGTAACCCAACCCCTGCACGCTGTAACGTACGTACGATGCATCCACCACGTGCTGCTTCATTCTCTCTTTCTTCTCAATCTCCTTCTTCTCCTCCGTCTTCAACGATTCTTCTATCGCCATGCCATTGAAACCCTCTTAGCTATAGCCATAGCCATGGAATACACAAGTTGGCCTGAATTGCAGCAAATGCAAACTCAAAATCCGCCCTCCTCTTACCAACAACCCTCATCATATCCTCATGCATCATCTTTTACTACCCATTACCTCTCTTACCCTCAAAACCCTAACCCTAACTCATCTTACTCTATCCCTCAATCTGCTACTGTTCTCGAACCTTCCCTCAACCCTCCTGGGGTTGATTCATATATCCCATTGAACTCCACTAACCCGATTACCCATTTGGGTCACGAAACCCTTCCCAATTTATCGTACGGTCAAAGCCATGTTGTGGCTGATTCGAACTCGTTGGTGGCATCTTCTGGCTTCTACTTCGACCCAAATTCTCAGAATTGGGCTGCAAGAGAAGCTGTTAGGCAATATGGTACTGACCCTGCTACCTATGCACCTGTAAGTGGCTATTCCCTTTTCGTTTTTCTATAAATTTTCAATTTTTTTTGCTCTCTGGGTGGTGGGGTATTGTTGTATATGATAGTGATTATGATGAGGAACGGTTATAAATGTACTGGTTTGGAATGCAGGGGAAAATGTGTGTGTATGAGTTTGGTTCTTCTTATGTTCGGAACTGCTTGATGCTGTTTGATGGTTGCAATTGCAAGTGTAGAGGGTTGAGCCTTAGGAGTTAGGACACTGCTTATGAAAGTTGGAGCTTGACAAGTGACAATTATTGCCGTTTGATTTATTCAAAGTGGTTTGATGAAGTAGTTGAGAATGGAAATCGAATGATATCACTTATGATTAAGTGATTGTTTAGTGGCAACTGGTTGCAGTGTTGTGGAAAATTGAAATATTTCAAGTGATGGTTGATTTGATTTGCTCTTAGTGTGTGCCGAATGGTGCATGAGTCCGTTACTTTTTAGTTAATTTGGACTTAGGGAGGCGGTAACCAAGTAGGTTTCTGTGGGTACTGTGTTCCAATTGAAAGGAGCCTGGTTTTGTAATTTTACTGAGCTGTTATCTTTTAAAGATTTTACGTTCCTAACTTTTCTTTCCACTTATTTTTTAGCTCATTTTTTTTTTCTTTCTTGATGCTAGCAGGAAGCATAGATTTTTATTCAAAGTAGGAAAACAAAATGTTGGCAATATTTTGATTTCATGGAGTTGGAATGCTTTGACTTGCTTATATCTTTTATTCTTTTCTAGAATGACCATTAAAAGTTGATCTATATTGAAATTTACTCTGTTGACTATAGCTGGATTGCAGATTATACACTGGTTTGTATTGTAATAAGTAATAACCTTGGAAATAAGCCTCTAATACTCTGGTTGATTGATTGATTGGGTGTGGTGTGGATTGTTTGGGTATGGTATTATCAGATGAACATAGTCTGTTTGCTGTAAATGTTAATGTTCTAGTAAATTTGGTGAAAAGGTATAGCAGGATTGTTATGAAAATATCAACTACTTTTCTGCCATAATTATCTGAAGATAAATGCGTGTGCAACAAATTTAAATGTAAAATTCCATTCCGTTGTATATTTCTGAAATTGAGTGGTAGTGGTTTTGAATTTATTCAAGTTGCCTAGGTTTCAAGTTACTATGAACTTTATTTGACAGTTCATTGCCTTTCTCTTGTTTCATTGACCAGTCTTAATTTCTGCTTTGCCATGAGTTTACCTGAATAAAATTTAAAAGGCCAAGGACATGATAATGAAATTGAACAATTTCTTTCCCATTACATGGGTTGGAATGCTAACTTATGACTTTGATAAACCTTTCTCCCTTTACTTTTAGAAACTTGGTATAAATTGATTATGCACATTATCTTCTATAATCTCAGTAATTTCCTCTGCATTCCGGCATGTATATAAAATATGGTTACTAAACTTAACACTAGGATTTAAAAACCCTTGACTGGACTCTTGGTTGATTGTATCAGTATTGTTTGGTACAGGATTTAAATAGTATATTGAAGTTCATATGAGGGGGGTTTATGTAAGTCATGGATGCTCTATTCATGTTATTTTAATTGCATAATGTATTATCCCAAGGTAGAAATAAATACAGTATAAACCGTGCAGGGCATCTCAATGCCATCAAATGGCTCAGAACAATTGGCTATGGAAAATCCTAACTCCACTTGGTGGACAAATACCGTAACTCAACTTCATAGCAATGGAACATGGAAGAAACACCAAAAGAAAGTTAAAACTAAGATTGTGCACTCCGCTTATTGTGAAGTTTGCAAAGTAGATTGTACCAGCAAGGAAGTACTAGACCAGCATAAATTAGGAAAGAAGCACAAGAAGAACTTGGATAAACTAAGAGAATCATTGAAACCAACCCAAGTTGAACCGGCTGGGTCATCTAGTCCTGTTATAGGACCCCAATTACCGAACGAGAAGAGCAAATCTATCAGTGGGCATAAGAGTAAGCGGAAAACAGTTGAAACTGCAGAGGATTTGGAGAAAAAGAAAAAGAAGGTTCTTGATGGGGGGGCAGCAGCTGAAGCAGTTAGAATATGTGGTATATGTAACGTGGTTTGTAATAGTGAAACAGTTTATAATTATCATCTTGCAGGACAAAAGCATGCTGCTATGCTGAAGAAAGCATCTAATCATACATAATCCAATGCCAGTTGAAATTTTCCCCTTTATTGAAGGAACATTATATTTGTGACATTTTCTTAGCATATCTCCTTTGAGCATTTGAATAGAATGTTCATTGCTTAATTTTTAATTTTAATATGAAATGGGTTGAGTATATACACTTGCATTGATTTTCATAATTGAGATGCAAAAATGGTAAAAAAAAATGAATATATTAAAACAATTGTTTTTATCAAAACTATTGTTATACTTGGTTAAATTTTCAATAAATTTACCCAAATGAGTTGGTGTTTACACCAAAATTTCTGTAGAGGCGTAATTACTCCAGCAAGAAAATTGATATCTCATTAATATTTTGTACACTAATATATTGTGTTAGAAATAGAACTCAAAAGCATAATGAAAGAAAAATTACAAGGAAGAAGCAGAGTAGACACGTCATCTTAGCTTAAGGTTGGGCCACATGGAAAATTATTGGATTATGTCAGCCTTGGCCCATACAATACTTCCTCGGTTCTGCAAACGACATACCAAAAAGTAGACACTAAGTTGGCCACTCTTATGATTACGAAGTTGCGATCTTAATAATAGCTGGACACACCCTGTGTACTCTTTTTCTAACGATCCTAAACCCCAAGATATTGATAAGAAAAGTTTTAAAATAAAATAAAATAATATTAAATAATATAATGTTATGAAAAACTATTTTTATTTTTATCATTATTTTTTAAGGATGTTTGTTAATATTTTTTAAAATAAATATATTTCTAAAATAAATTTATTTCTAAAAGAAATAATATCATTAAAATTTAAAAACATTTATTCACTTTGAAAAAAAAATTATTAATTATTTATTCATAATATCATCACTTATTAGATGAGAAATTAATTTTTCTTCTGTAACCCAAAATCATTCTTAATCAAAATAAATTTTCAGAATATAATCATGTGTTAAAAACGAAAATGACTTTTAATGGTATTTTGTCGTGGAAAAAATTTGCATCAAAATATTTATATGATTATCATCAAATTCTCAAATTAAGTTATATCATGCGATTTCTTTTTTTAATATTAAATAATCACCATTGAAATTATGTCACTGATTTTTAAAAGCTATTCACAATTATTATTTAACTTTAAAATGTATAACAAATATGAGAAAGCTTTTCTTTACCCACACATGGTCTCTTTTTTTTTCAATATTACCAACACATGCTTGTCTGATTCACTTTGCATACATACAGTCAATCAGATTCAGGCGCTATATCAAAATCAAAACTTAAAAAATTTACAATAAATGTTTTCCCGTGCAGCTTTAGTAAATTAATGAACATAATTAAATCGAAACCCATCACCCAGGATCACATGCCAATCAATTACAGTCGTTTTATTCCTTGAATAGACCAAGTACTCAGCAGCTTCACGCTAACAATACCAAAGCCAAAAACCCTTTCTTTCTTCCCTCACTGAATGGCATCTCCCTGCCACTGCCCCCAACACCAACACCATCATCAGCACCCTCATCAAACCCCTCCTCCCACAAACCATTACTGTTGCAACCCTTCTTACAGTTGTTGTACACCCCCACAAGACAACCTTGTACAAGCCATTGCAACACTCTTGTCTCAAACTCAATCACACCCTATTCCTTCTCTAAAACATTACACCAAATCTTATCCTCTCCACAACCTTCCCATTCAAAATCACCACCTTCAAACCCAATCCACTATCTCTTCCCTTCTCCATCGCATCGAATCCCTCGAATCCTCTCTCAACCATTACACTCATCACTCTCTCCGCCATGCTGCTGCTCGTGTTATCCAAACCCATTTTCGTTCCTTCCTCGTTCGTAGATCAAGAACACTAAGCCACCTCAAACACCTCGCTTCCATCAAATCCACCTTCAACGCTCTCAAATACTCCTTTTCCAACCACACCCACCTTGATTTTGCACCTCTTTCCCTTAAAGTTGCGAACTTGCTCCTCGAACTCGATGCCATTCAGGTAATAAAATCGTGGGATTTTTCAAAATTTTCAAAATTTGTTCTTTAAAAAAAACTCTAAGAAAGTTTCAATTTTGATTCTAGGGTTGTGATCAGCTGATTGTGGATGGGAAAAGGTCGATTAGCAGAGATTTGGTTCAGTTTTTGGACTCCATTGAAGAGGTTGCTGTGAAAAGGCACGTGCTTTATGTGAGGGCAGCAAAGACTGCGAAGTCGGGTCAGAAAGTTTGCAAGCCTAGAAATTCAGGTGATGATGAGAAGCGGAAGCTGTTGCAGAATTTGAGGGGTAGGGTTGAGAAGCTTAGCAGATTGTGTAAGGTTTCTGCGAATGATGATGAATGTTCGGAGCATGAGGAGAAGGGATTTCATGATGATGATCATGTGGTAAAAGGTGTTTTGATTGGTAGAAGGGATGGAGTTTCCCCGAAGAAAAATGGGGTCTTTGCTCATAGGCAAGGAATTCAACCTAGAGTGAAGAAAAATGTGAGGTTTGCAGAGAATGAGAATGTTTGTGAGGTTTATAGTGGGGATGTGACTTGTTCTGATGGAAGTTCATCTAGTGATGAGCAAGGAGAGGTTTTGGAGAATGTTAGTGGTGCAGTTGAAGATGTTGTGGATTCTTCTCAGGATGCTGAAGATGATGAGGAAGCCCTGGTGGGGGACAGTGGCGGATCGCCGCGTAGTAGCGATGATGGGGAAAGGAACTCTAGAAGGGTTCTCAAAAATGATGGCAGAAATGTAGTGGAAGAGCAGCTTCTATTATCCGCTCCATTGCCTCTTAAGATGGAAAACAGAAGTGATTTCAAGAAGAGTAAAGGTGTGAAATTTTTGTTGTGAAGAGCTGTAGCATGATCATGTGAGACTTAGTTTCGTTTGATTTGTATTGTTTAATTGTAATGTAGGAGTATTTGATTGTCCTTCGGATTGGTGGAGCTGATTTGAGTGTCTAATTGGTCGTTGGTACTGTAAATGGACTATGTATTTTCATGTTCCACTTCAATTGATGTTTACTACTTGCAGGCTATCAGCTGTTTCCCAACATTCTTTGAATCAGTTTCATTTTTCTCATGTTCTATAAAGTGATGTGCAGCTTTTTCGGTTAGTTGTCTTAACAGTGAAATAGGCTTACTAACCTTACAAAAGTTGATGGAACCATCGTATAACATTGAGCCTTGGAGCTGATACTACTATACTTGCATTTGGAACTAACATTTCAAAGAACAATTTTCTTCATTAAAATAAAAAGCATGATCAAGTCTTCATAAATTTCTCCTCCTGCTCTGCACCATTTAAGGTCCAATGCGGCCATGTAATTGAAATGAGTTAGAAGACAACGTGATTTCGTTATTGAGCCATGTTGAACATTTGCATAATGTCATCTTCTGTGATAGAAATCTCAAGCTTTTGTTAGTTCCTGAAATATGACTTGCCTCTAGTCAAATACTAGATACTACGTTCTGTAGATATTCACCTGAAAAACCCCACAAAATAACCACAACGTTGAGAGAACATGCATTTAAGCTGCTGAGATTTTAAATTCTTTTGATAATTCTTAACTTCGCAAATTGATATATTTTAGCTCTTTTTAGCATAAAACAATAGTAAAAAATATAGTGGAAAAAACTAAAATAAATTATTTTTACGGATTTAAGGACTAACAAAAAAAAATTTGAAAATCGACCCAATACATTTGAGTGATGAAACCCCAATGCTGTAAGTACTATCATTGAGATCGTAGGAACGTCTGCCAAGTGAAGGGAATTTATTGGAGAGAAACATTTCCTGCGACATATAATGTTTTTGCTATCATTATCGTCAAATGATTATTAATTCTTCACGAATATTGACTATCTGCTATCTTTGAAGAAACAAACTGATATGCTCCCTTGGTCAAACCATGTTCTTTTGCACCAAAAGATTGTCCTCAAAAGAGTTGCTAAAAATGTAGCACAAGAATAAGGTTGCAATGCTCTGAATATTTTCTCCGCAGATAGCATACCATTCCCAGGAACAGTTAGGTTTTTTCTGTGGTTGCAGGATTCGCAGGGAGCATGGGGATCAGCTATTTCTTCCTTCGATTTTGATAGTGACGAGGCTAATTGTATGGAAACCTCAGGAACACTTCTCAGAAAGAACCAGAATAGTCTCCAGTCTACATCCAAATGAAACATTAGGCTCACACACACACGTATAAATATTTTAGTTTATTTCAATAAGCTCGTTAGTATAACGCATAAAAATAAGTTACTTTTAACTTATCTCGACAAATTTCATATTTAAATTTAAGGCATAAATCATATTTTAAGAACTTTTTAAACAAGTTTTCAACTTGAGAGTTATTTAGATGCATCTATAGTGATATCACTCACTCTAACATAAAATATAAAACGGAAAATTTAAAATTCATTCTTTAACACACACTTAACTATTAATTAGAATAAATTAAAAATTATCAAAATAAAAAAATATTAGTTTAAAAGTAAAAACTAGTAAAATTTTCATAATTTTTTAAATTTTTAATAAATTTTAACTAATAATTAAAGGTGTATTAAAAAGAATCTGTCACTAACATTCCAAAAATCATAATAATCTATCTTAGCCAGACACAAATAAACCAACTTTGCAGTGCATCATCAAGTGTTATTGTGAAGGAGAACATCATCACCGTCATATAAAAAAAAAAAATTGTGAAATTTACAGACAGACCAACCAAATTACTCATTCTAACTAAAAACTTAAAACCAAATTTGCATTATTATTAGGGAGTACAACTCAACTTAAAAAGAAACAAGTACATAAAATTGTCCTCCAAAAAAATGAGTGATGGATATTAAAGAGATATTATGGCTTTCCCGGAGAAAGCTGAGACCTCAAACGATATTCACTCTGTAGCCAGTTCCACACGAAACGAATGATCCAAGGGCAGACACATTTCTGATTTATCACCTCCTCAGCAGACCATAAGAGTCATATGATACTCAGAACCTGCAGCAATTCCAATCATGGAGGAGTGAATAAAACTTCGTACTAGGAAATTGAAAGGGGAAAAAACGATGCAGAACGAACCAAAAAACAAAATGAACCAAACTAACTGTTCATGCCACTTCTTGTTTGAGTATAGAAATTGGGTACCTGTTGTTTCTTCAATAGGAATTCTATATTATTAAAAATTAATCTAATTCTAATTTAGTTAAAATAATTCCTTACATTTTCAATCTCTTTTGAACACTCCAGCATATGATCAAATTATAGAGACGCTAAGCAAATTAAATTAGCATGTGCTATCACTAATTAGGGCATTGACACACGTCACACAATAATGGAAGTTGCAGAAAATAAAGTTAAATAGGAGATAATTTTTGAAAAATAAAATAAGAAACTATGATTAATCTTCTAGTCCTCGCTTATTAAATTTTATAAAAAATGAAACTAAGACTCTATTGTCGATGAACGAAACAACCCTAATTGAGTTGGAAAATAAAGAGGCGTAAACCCTAAAACCTTTAATGAAAGGGTTGTTGGAGTTCCATGACGCTGCGAAGCGGAGGGGCGTAGAGAGAGTAAACAACGGCCTGTCGTTTAGCGACTTCGAGTTGAGACTTGGCGTGGGAAAAGGCAGACGAAATAGCGGAAGGGTCAGAAAGAGTGGCGTTTTGACGGAACGCATCGATGGTGCGTCGTTTAGTGTATTCCCTGATGTTGTAATCGGGGAAGTGGCGTGCAACGCGCAGAAGGGAACGGAACAGGGAAAGGATTTGGGTGGTAGAAGGAACGGAAGTTGATACCCCACTCATCGCTCTCTCTCCCTCTCTCTCTCTCTGTGAAATGCTGCACACCCAACAGATACACAATAAAGAGAGAGAGCATAGCAGATCAAGTTGTTTTTTTGGCCCAATACAGACAACATGTTATGTATTGGGTCCAAAATCTTGGATAATGTAGCTATGTTAAATATTTTAAATAAAAATACTATACAAAAGATTGTAGCTTTTTTTAGTTTAATTCTTTCAGTTTATAGAAAAAAATTATAATTTTATATTCTTTAAAAAATTACTATAATTTATAAAATAATTTTTTTATGATGTTCTTGTAGAATAACAGTTTATAGAATTAGTGTATAATTAATTTGTATTTTCAATCAATACTTTAAGTGGTGGTGAAAATTCCTTACCGAGATTTTAGTATATTTATATTTTCAAGTCTCTAACAATATAGATTTAAGTTAGAACAATTTTCTATTTGTTGATTTAGACATTAAAAAAAAGTACATAAATGTCATCGGACATTATAAATGCATGCCTCTCCCAAGAGGTATTCAATTAATAAATTGGTACTTTGTGGGGAACTAGCCTTTTTCACTAGACCCAATCTCTATTAATTTGTTGACGAAGGAAAAAAGCAAGTATAGTATTGAATCAGTTGTTTGGGTACCCCTTCTTTTTTAAGTAAATAAAATCTTGGGACTAGAAATAATAAGACTTATTTTCATTTTAAAAAAATAAAAGTATATGTTAGGGCCTTACAATGGATGATCTATATGCTTATTCTTATCTCCTTTTTTTTTTTTTGGGTTCATGATTCAATATTATGGGGTCTTAGTTATCGAACAACCACACCAATATTGTAAGAGATCCTACAAAAGAATAGCCCAACTCGTGGATGATGAAAGTTTTAACAGCTCCCATTCAAAATTTTGAAGTATAACCCTCATAATTATTGATTCCTCGTGAAGTTATCAAAATCAAGATCTTTCAACTCAATTTCATTTGAGGCTTATCAATGGAGTAACCACTAATTTTTACCTTGAATTGGCCAGAATATGCAAATTTTTCTACTTTTGATGGATGAATAGATCCAATTGGTATTTGGTGGTCAATGTCTAACTGATATTTCACACCATTTAAGTTGATGGATTTTTGTACACATGCAAGTCGATGGGGAACATGGTGTTTCCAGGCACAAACAAGAAAGTAGCAGGTTAAAACTTGTTCTTGGGTTGAGAACTACAATACAAATACAATGCTTGTTGTGTAGTGAATGTAACTTCCATTGTGAGAGAATTATAATTTTTTTCTTCCTTCTCACAAATTTGTTTTGAAAAGTGTGTAAAGAAAGTTTAAAAAGCAATATAAACTGGTCCAAAAATTATTGAAAATGCCAGCTAAGGAGCAAAAGAGGAATATACTCAAGGAGGGCTTGCCTTCTTCCTTTTTTTTTCAATTTATGATGTTGATTTTATAAATTATCTCTCTGAAAAACTAATAAATAATAAAAAATTAAATTATCAATAAAAACAATTAAAAATATAATCTTTTAAATTAAATAAAAATACGAGAGGGACAAACCATAAGATAAACTATAAATGGTGAGGTATAATTTGTCTTGAAATTTAATTAATTATTAAATAAGGTGATATGGTTCCCCTTGATGTGAAAAAAGGCAAGGTTTGGCAAAGCTGAACCATTTCAAAGGATAAAGAGATTGACAGATTCAACACACCATCTAATTAAACTCGCTATTAGAGTAATGAAAACAAACTTTTTCAACATTACCTCTAAGAACTCCTAGCTGATCATATCATCATAAGATTTTCTGTTTTATATATATATATAATTTAAGTTAAATATATTTAACTTTTAAGTTAATTAGTTAAGTAAGGAATAGAAAAAGGATGTTCATTTCCATGGTTAAAGAATTGATCAAAATATATTATTTAGTAATGATTCTGCCAATATATTATGAAGATATGTTGAAGTTTTAATAATTAAGTTATTTTGTGGTGTTATTCCTTAAAAAAAATGCATAAAAGATACAATAATATTTTTTAAAAAATTCTTCTCCTATATTTCATTTCATCTCACTTTGAATATATTTTTTTTTCATTTCAAGCTTTTTAAAGCTTTCTTAAAATTAATTATTCCAAACGACCTATGTCAATTTTTAGTCGACCAATCAATAAGTTTAAATTCATGTTAGTTTATCACATTCACGCAAAAGCTTATATAAGTAAACTCACATTTTTTATAAACATGATTATGCATTCAACTGATCCCACACACTTTATCTATACAATTTTTGCCACTTATCTTAAATAAATTGACATTATGTGAATTTAATCACTCTCACTTAAATTAATATCTCTATAAAGAAAAAAGTAAGCTAGCTCATATAAGCTAATGAGTCTATTAATATAAAGAGTAAGATAAAGGGTCAACGTACCTATAAACTTAAATAGAGTACTACTAAATTTATCTATATAAGTACAATATTACATATATTTTTAGTTAGGTGAAAAAATGAAGTTCATCTTAAACTATTTGCATGTGTTTGTCCTCTTTACCTCATGATGGTGATGGCTGATCAAGTTATTTCCCTTTTAGTGATACTACTTGGCCATTTGTCGGTGCCATTAGCTTAACGTATTACCTTTTATTTGGACAATAATCTCTCACGTTTCTTGCTTCCTTTCATGATAAATGTAAAGGGTGACAAAACTAAACCTTTGAGATACAATCTATTAAAGAATTGATCCCTTACCTTTTTCCTTGCTTAAATGGTTGAAGAACCGAAAGTCTTAAAACAAACTCTAAGCCTACTATTATTGGCTATTTCCCATTCAATTGTTAACAAGTCAAGGAATACCAAGATTATTCACATTTTAAATTCAACTCTCATTAGTCCCCTTATAGACAGTCCTCTATGCTTTTATTAACACATGCACGCTTGCGTACAATACAACTACTACTTGTAACATTTTAATCAAAATATAAGTATTCTCCATTTCTAGTTGATGTTGATGTTATTTATTAAATTTTCAGTCCACAAAAACTCATGGTTTTTCTTTCTACCCATGCATGCATCTTGATGGGGGCTAAGGAAGTGGCCAAATCATTTTTCCACCGTACCCTTTCTACACATACATGCATTAAGCTAAAAACACACAATTTTTTTTTTATTATGCTTGTTGGTTAGGTTTACGGGAGCTTGCTTTCTATGTTCAATTTTAAATTTGCTCAGATCCTACACTTAGAATATTTGTTATCTATGCAACAATTTTACCAATTTTATATTCCTTTGACATTGTTTTTTGGGTATGAATCCTATTTTTTTATTTATATTAATTAAAAAATTAGTTTTTCTAAAATAAGGCCATGTGTAAAACATGAAAATAAAAATGTATTCATCATTAATTTAAATGTTTTCAATAAAATATTCAAATTTTAATTAATGAGAAATAAACGTTATACCTTTTATATATATATATATATATATATATATTATTTTTTAAAAAGTTAAATCGTAATAACAAAAAGTCATACTATTTTTGTATTTAAATATTCAAATCCTTATTTTCTAGTTCTAGCATTATTACATAACATTGATTAGAGTTTTCTTAACGTTTGAGTTCAAAAATAGCACTCCATCTTTAATATTTTCCCATCCCAATGTTAGATTCACTTTTTCCCCCTTACAGTGCCTCACACTAACACCAAGATAAATAAATAAAGAAATGTTAACTATAATTAACCACCGCTTTCCTCATAATACTATCCACATAATCCTTTAAACCTTGCCCATAAACATAGGAAACATCTAAATTTAGCTCCTAGATCATGCTCCCACACCCTAATCTCAAGGTCAAACACCCCCCCACATTTTTCTCTCTCTCTCTAACACATCATTTTCGCTCTCCCCTTCTCTCTCTCTCTGTCTAACCCCAACACGCCTTTGAGTTTTGACTCATACAAGGTTTTCACATTTTCTTTTTCATTTTTATTTTTATTTATTTTTCGGGAAAACGAAATTGTAGACAATGAGAAATCTCCGCACAAACTGAGAAAAAAAAAAAAAAAAAAACTAAACAAAAACAATAGAAAAAAAAAAGGACCCAGAGTTTTCTCTCTCTTCTCTCTTCTCTCTCCTTCTTGATCCATGGGAGAGTAACGTGAACCTTGAACCTGAACCCAACCCGGAAGAAACTCGATCGATTTTCCCCAATCAAGTATTGGATTGGATTGGATTCCTCGACGCTCACTCGATTGGCTCGAAGACCCCAATGCGGTCTTTCAGAAAACCGGAGAAGAAGAAAAAGATAAACTTTTCAGATTGGAGCAGGACCCAGATTCGTAATCCATCGGAATTGTACTCCGGGCATCGGTGGGAATCGGAATCTGATGGTGTGGGCATGGGGGGTGTCGTTGTGGTTTTGGGGTTGTGCTAGGGTTGTTGTGGCGGTGGGGCTGCATATGCATAAACGACGATGCAGCTTCACTTCTCGCCTAGTATGAGAAGCATAACGATATCGAGCAGCAGCAGCAATGGATTTACTGACTTGATGAAGATCAAGGTCGCAGCTCGCCACATTTCCTATCGAACCCTCTTTCACACCATCCTCATCCTCGCTTTCTTGTTGCCCTTTGTTTTCATTCTCACCGCTCTTGTTACCCTTGAAGGTGTCAACAAGTGCTCCTCATTTGGTACTCTTTTCTCTCTTCCAATGCCAATTTCATCGCTCCTTTCTTTGTTTCTTTAGGTAGATCTTGATTTGGACATTGGTTCAAATTGTGTTCCAGTGTTGTTTATGGTTGCATGATTTTGTTGTAGTAAATGGATTTAAGTTATTTTCCTGATGAAAATTTTGAAGCTGCTGGTTAGTTGGTATGTTACAATTAAAATCGCTTCATTTAGGATCTGAATTTTGAAGTGTGACTGAGTAATTTAATGTTGGTGTTTCGGTTGCATGGTTTTTTTTTATTGTACTTGAGCTTAAAGTTAGGGATGGGATTGGATGGAGATGTTTTTGTGACATGTGTTGCTGAATTATGTAAGTAGTTGAGCATTTTGGGTAAATGGAAAACTTTTTTGTGTTATTACTTATTAGGGATTGTTAAGGACGAAATTAAGGCCAATGTTTGTTGTTTTTAAGGTCCTTCTCTAGAAAATGCTTGCTGTTTGCTGTTTGCAGTATGTTGGTAAGAAAAGTTTTGATTCGTTTATTTCTGTCTTACTGCAACAATGCATCAGCTTGATGCATTTTTTTAATGGTACTTAGATTAGGTTCTGAAATTTCATTAGTTTGTGCTTTTTAATTGTCTTACCATGTGCCTGTCTTAAACGTTGATTGATTCCTTGTTTTGTGTTCCAGATTGTTTAGGCAGGCGGTTAGGACCGAGGCTTCTTGGTAGGGTTGACGATTCAGGGGTAAATAATTTTATCATCATATCCTAGACAATTTTGTTTTAAAACTAATATCTGAACCCTTTTGGTGATGATGGAAACATTGATGGTATTGCAGAGATTGGTTAGAGATTTTTACAAGATCCTTAACGAAGTGAAGACTGGGGAAATTCCAGCTGAGCTAAAGCTTCCAGATTCCTTTGAGCAACTTGTTTCCAACATGAAGAACAATCAATATGACGCTAAGACTTTTGCGTTCATGTTAAGGGGAATGGTAAGTTGCTTGTTTCACTTAACACAAAGTATTGTCTTTTTCTTGGTTAATTGGTATTGAATAAGGAAGAGGTTATCTGAAACTGAATTCTATTGACATTTTCAAATCTTATAGCTTACAAGGAAAATACATTTTTTGTTAGTGAATTTGTCCTTACTAAGACTTATAACATTAAAAGCTTGACGTTGGTATAACTAATGCGTTGTGTAAGAATTTCAATTAAGACAACTTAGACAATGAATATACAATATTCTCTCCAAGATAATTTATATAACAAAGACACAATATTCTGTCTAGGGATACAATGATTCAGCTCATGACTTCTCTAGATTAATATTAGTTTTGAATTTAAGAGCCTATGGCTTGGTTTTGTGAATCAGATGGAGGTCCCCGCTATTGATACTGTGTTGTTGATACCGAATCTGCTGTATTATATGGAGTTTTCTTAATGTGTATGATTTGATTGTAATTTTGGTTCTTATATAATTAATTTCTGAATTATCTTGGTGCTATGCTCAGTTATATATGTTCATGAGAAAGGGTTATCTTGCTTCTGATGATACTGTTGCTAACTGAAATACTGCAACCTCATAAATAAGTCAGTCAAGAATACTTGACCAATCATGGATTATTTAGATTGCTTTATTATAGTTATATACTTGTCATTCATCTACTATGAATGTCAGTTTATGATTTTAACTTGAATTTAGTTTGATGCCACCATAACCAAAAAGATAATCATGATTGTCCTTACTTCCAGTTTTTCACTATTAGTTGTAGAGAAACTGAAGATGGTTTCTTAAGTCATGGAAAAAAGTTACAGTTCTGTGAGATATTTCATATTAAGGCTTGTCTTAAGGTTGAAATATATTATGAATTTGAATTTGGCATATTAGTCACAAGCTTAATAAAGGTATATTCCATTTCTTTTTCTAACGCATGAAGGTGCTCTTTTTTATGTATGCTTTTATCAATATGTTGGGTTTTATTTGTATTCTTTTCTTCCTTTCTTTGCTTAAATGTTTATTACATTTCTGTTTATGTACCATTGCAACTATTGAATCCTAAATGTCTATTTATTTACAGTTGGTAGTAACTTCATAATCTTTTTACAAACATATAGATATTACTTATTAATACTCTTTAATTATCATTATCTTCAGTTTGCAACCTTAACTGCTCATCAATGATAGCCATTGGTTTATGCATCCCTATTAGACCCATAGAAATTCTAAGTATATGCAAGGTTGATGTGTGAATCTTTGCCTAAGTATGTTCGTATCTTCAATTCATGATGCTATAGCATGCTTAGATTTTTTAGACTATATATTACAGTTCTTGTGTTAAAAGTTGAGGTAAATGGTGATTTTATTGATTATTGTTACAATGATGTGTTTCTTGGGACAGATGGAGAAATTTGAGAGAGAGATCAGAGAGTCTAAATTTGCTGAGCTGATGAATAAACACTTTGCAGCAAGTTCTATCCCCAAAGGGATTCACTGTCTATCTTTGCGTTTGACTGATGAATATTCATCAAATGCCCATGCACGCAAACAATTGCCTCGTCCAGAGTTACTTCCTTTACTGTCCGACAACTCTTACCACCATTTTATTCTGTCAACTGATAACATCTTGGCTGCCTCAGTAGTTGTTACTTCTACTGTCCAGTCATCTCTGAAACCTGAGAAGATAGTCTTCCATGTGATCACTGATAAAAAAACTTATGCGGGTATGCACTCATGGTTTGCACTAAATCCTGTTTCCCCTGCTGTAGTTGAAATCAAAGGCATTCATCAATTTGAATGGTTGACTAGAGAAAATGTTCCAGTACTTGAAGCTGTAGAAAATCAAAATGGGATCAGGAATTATTATCATGGGAATCATGTTGCAGGAGCCAATCTCAGTGATACTAGTCCACGTAAATTTGCGTCTAAATTGCAGGCCAGAAGCCCGAAGTACATATCTTTACTCAACCATCTTCGCATATACTTACCTGAGGTAAACTGGATTCAACAATGATCACTCTGTTTTCTTTCTCCTTCCCTCCCTCTCTTTATCAATACTGTTCAGTGTTGATACTTTTCAAACCACAATTTACAAAAAAGTATGGTGGTGAAGTTCATAAGCTTCTGTTATCGTATATTCTATGTGGTTTTTTTACATTATATATTTTATGTTGAATATAACATAAAGAAATGAATGATTGATTGATCACTCCCCCCAAATTTTTATCTGTAAAATTCTGCATTCTATGTTTATGAATGCTTTAATGAACTGAGTTTGTAGTGGCAAAAGTGGCTATGGGCACTGAATGTCTCTGAAGTTTTAAAAAATTATAGTAATTGTAGAGAACATGATACCATATGATAAACATAATATATGATTTAGAACTAATTCAAGCAAAATGTTTGTCTATTTTGCCTTATAGAATATGGTTATACAAAGGAAGAACATAAACCATGAAATGTGACAGGACATAGAAGAGAATAATAATAAAGAGAGCCAACTGTAAGTGGGACAATGCAGTTTAATGGAACCAGACAGCTAAAACTGTTAGGTGCAAGTTATAGTATCAAAAGCTTAGCTTAAATAGAGGGGAAAAGGGGGAAAGAGAGGGCATTCTGAGTTGTAGTATTGGAGAACCAAACATTAGCTCAATTGTAAAAGGGGAAATGCTTGGAAGGAACATTGTCCCTCTTCTGTAAATATTTGTTAAGCCTTTGCAAATTGTTCTCTTTCTCTCTTTCCTTTCTATTTTTGGTGCTCATGCTTTTTGGTTCATAACAAAATGAATGGTGGAATGTTCCCCTCTCCCCTTCTCTTGTTTCTGGTCCAAGTCGATAATTATTAATTTTAATTGCATTTGCATCTAATTGATTTCATCAGTATACAGGTCTTGTGCTCCAATTATAGCTAATTGCCATTTTTTACTATAACTTCTAATGATAGAGAAAATAGTCTTGCTCTTTTTGTCTTTCTTTTTTTGACATTAATTGGGTTCTGTTTCATATGTTTGTCTTACATGTGAAATAGCTTTTCCCGAACCTGGACAAGGTGGTGTTTTTGGATGATGATGTGGTGATTCAGCGTGACTTGTCTCTACTTTGGGAAATTGACCTGGAAGGAAAAGTTAATGGAGCTGTGGAAACTTGCAGAGGTGAAGATGATTGGGTAATGTCTAAGCATTTTAGGAACTACTTCAATTTTTCCCATCCCCTCATTGCAAAGCATTTGGACCCTAATGAGTGCGCATGGGCTTATGGAATGAATATCTTTGATCTGCGGGCATGGAGAAGAACTAATATAAGAGAGACATATCACTCCTGGCTGAGAGAGGTAAAAGTCAATATTAACTCAGACTAATACAACTTTATTTCTTTCAAAATTTTTAAATTAGTCTTTGATTTTCATTGATTTGAAGTCCGTACAAAATCCACACATTATTATAAATTAATGTTGTTGTGCGGAAACTGATTGAGTGGCTTAAACATCTATTTAAGTACATATTAATTACTAATGTTGTAGGTGGTAACGTGACTGAGAACATAGGTAACCTTTTGTTTCCTTCTGTTTTTGGTCTTCTTATTGAACACCCCCCTCTTCCCATTTTGTGAAACTGAAAGGGTAGGGAATTATTGGTCATATGGTCTTCAATTATTCTGTTACCAATGAATATATTATTGACAGCTTCACTATGGCAGAATCTAAAGTCGAACCTGACAATGTGGAAGCTTGGAACCCTGCCTCCTGCTTTGATAGCATTTAAAGGTCATGTTCACCCAATTGATCCTTCTTGGCACATGCTTGGCTTGGGTTATCAGAACAATACCAATATTGAGAGTGTGATAAAGGCTGCTGTTATTCACTACAATGGCCAGTCAAAACCCTGGTTGCAAATTGGCTTTGAACATCTTCGGCCATTTTGGACCAAGTATGTCAATTATTCAAATGATTTTTTGAGGAACTGTCATATACTGGAACCATAGTCTGCCAATCAGGAGCACTATGGTTTGTACAACCGTGAATATGAAAGGAACAAGTAATACAGGTTTCATCTAAGTTTTTGTGGCTTGAGATTTTCTTCAAGATGAATTTGACAAGGCAAATAGAAAATTGGTTGAGACGGCAAAACAATTGAAAACATTGTGGGTGGATTTGTTACCATTCGCTACCATTTTGCAGACAACACAGTTACCAACCCCGCATGGCCTTGAGAATCATTTTGAGTCCTTGAGTTGTGACCTAGAAACACGTCCTCTATTTTTGGTTTGTGAAAGGATACTATTATTGGTCTTCTATGGGACAAATATAGCAAAGATTCCATAGTTGAATATTGGAGAATAAACTGAATGCTGGAGATAAAAAAAGTCAGGCCTGTTTCATCAATCTAGTTGGTGTTGAGAACACAAGTGCTAGGACAGTTAATTTGTGAGGTTCCCCCCTCTAGAGCAGCGTTTTACTCTTCATTTTTTAGTTTCTTAATTTTTGTTAGTACCAACTTTTACCTTCACCCACTTTGATTTGATATCATGATAGTGAATTCTAGGAGTAGTTCTTGAGATTGCTTTGTTACGGGTCCATTGAATTGGGGAATTGTAGGATATATATTATTCATTATGTACGATTACCAGACATTGGAAATGTGCAGAAAATTCTTTTTTCTCTCCTTTGCAATGCCGGGTCATAAGTGTTCTCATCATTTTCGTGTCTCTTGCATTCACACATTTTGTTACTCAACAATATTTCCTCCTCCCTCCCTCCACCAAGTAAAATAAATGAACAGCAATTTTGGAAGCAAACTAAATGCAAGTTATATGGTAACAAAAGCTTGGCCATTTTTGTTAGAAAAATTCTTCATCAATTGTATTGGTTAAGAACAGTAATGAGTTATTATATAAAGACATTAATGAGAAAAAGGCTTACTAGTATACCTTCTGACCCATGAAGGTGTTACTAGGGACGCGGAGTATAAAGCTGTGGATGGCCAATTTATGTTTGGTTAATGGTCAACAATAGTGGCTGATTTGTCACATGTAGCTTCTTAATTTGTCAATTATTCATCACTTTCCCCTTTTCCATACCTTCTGGCTAGGAAGCTGTCTTCTCTACTTTATTTGCCATGGAAAATTTTTCTGTTTATATAATCTTTTTCATAAAATTTTCCCTCCCTCTTACTGCACTAATCTGCCAAATATTTTATATTTGAGAGTGAAGCAGGGCAAGAAAGCTGTGTTACCACGAAAAATCAACTTTTATCAACATGATCCTTATAAATGAGGTGGAAGAATCAACGTATAAAAAGCTTATCATTAAAATTTTCAACCCGATTATTTAGGGCATATACTAAATTGACTGCATGGTGCTTCTTCCTTATCACTTATTTTATATTTTATTTTTTTAAGGTTTTTTTTTTGCTGGTTGGAAACTTTTCTGCCTTTTAATTGAAACTCTTGAATATTTATTTTGATAGAAAATTTTCAACAGTGCATTGAGAAGTGATTGCATTATTCATATGTAAAAGATTTGTAGACAGTTGCTTCATTAACAAGTGTTGTCTAAGGCTTTGTTTGATTTGAGACGTATTTTTTTTTATTAACAAGTATAAAATTATACATTATTTTTTTTTGTCGTTTTCACCTTTATCTATATAAATATTTAAAATAAAATAAAGTAAAAATAAGACATTTTTATAATTTTTAATAAAAATATTTTCTTAAACTTATCGACTCATTTTCAATATCAGTACTTACATAAAAATAATATTTAACAATCCACTCACTAGACAAAGTCCAAAAGTAACTAACTTTAATTAGCATGCATGAAGTTCCAATAATTAAAAGATATGAAAGAGAAAAATCGCATAGAACGACTTTGATAAGTTGGTGATGACATGGTTTCCAATTAGAACTACTCTAATGTTAAGTATTCTTCCTTGCTCTCAAAAATAAAATTTCGCCTTACTGTGATCCCTTCAAAGTGCATGGAGGATCTTATTTTTAAGACTTCTGCAACAAAAATTGTGGACCCACCATTTAAATGGGACCTCTTTTGCATTTTCTTTATGCAAGTGTTGTCAATTAATCAATAATTTGGCTGAATGATTAAACTTTAACACGTGTCACGTAGTTGTGCCTTTATACTAAAGAGTCGATTCTTCCAAAATCTTGAGTGAAGCAATATGAAAGATTCTTTAGACTTCGTAAAAAAAAAAAAAGAATACCCATTAGTAATACTTAGATAAGATCCTCATAAATTAGAACTTGATAACATGTAAGAGGTGGACCACAAAGTAGAGCCTATCACTATGATATCGAGGAATCTGTTGATGCTAAACGTTTGTAAACATTTCGCTTAAGGACCCACTTGTGGTTGTTCAGAATTTGGATTATCAGCTATCAGATAAGGACTACTCCCTCAATTGTTGTGTCATAATTTAAAGTTTGAGTTTGAACAATGCATCGTAATAATATGGGCTGCTATGGCTGTTTCCTACTTGTAATGACTAGTCTTTTGTACACGTTTGACACACCTTTCTTACTACAAAACTGTCGATGTTAGTATTGTAAAAATGTGAAGATGGTGTACAGTGTAAAATCATCCAAACAGCCAAAAGATGCAACAAATCTGTTAGATTTTTTTTCTCAATAATATATTTTTTTAAAATGTGAAATATAATATGTTTAATGACACAAAAACAATCGCAGTAATTTTAAGTCATGTTCACTTTGTTCTTCTTTTATCTTCTGCATATATGTAACTACATAGCAATTCATTCGGGTAAATATTTCATCTAAAAACTTATTACTAGACTTGATATACTTTTACTAAAAATGACACTCGTGTATACTATTATAGAAATATTAAAAAGTTGTTAAGATATACAAGTAGAAAGTTAAGATGTTATATATATTCTAGGAAAGAAATTTTTAAGTCTAATTAAGACATGACAAGTTGTAGAGATTTATGCATACAGAAAATAAAACATTAGCAAAAAAATTTAACATAATCAATCGAATACATTTTTTCAATCATTTGATAACATTTTTGTGAGACTTCCTAACTAGAAAATAACTTATTAAATTAAAAATAAAACCATTTTATTTTGTAAAATTGACATAAAATTTAAATAATAAATAAAAATATTTATAAAATATATTGTTAACAAAATCACTAACCGCAAAATATAATTTAATCATTCTTGCAAGGTAATTTAAAAGAGATCTAAATATTTGTATAATAATAGGAACTTGCATTGCATGTATGTATTTGTACAAGAATAATGTTATGTAGTATTTTTATGAGAGTAGATGATAATTTTTCCAATTCCACAGGCTTGGGAGATTAGGAAGAGGGAGAAGCAAACAAAGATGGAGTCATTGACCAAAGATTTCCTTCCAAGACTTTGAAAATTCCGAAGCAGCCTTGTTCCTTGCTACCCCTCTTCATCCTTTTCTACCATTTCAATATTAATTATTGCAAAACACTAACCAACCAAAAGAAAAAGAAACCGAAGTATCCACTTTCCCTTTTCTTCTTCTTCTTCTTCTTCCATCTGAGTTTCTAAAAAATTAAAACAAATTTTGTGACTGCCACAATTACCACTCAGATCAGTGACATACATACCCATATCAGACACCCCAAAAAGGAAAAGAAAAACTTTCAGGTTTTTCCACTGTCTCTTCTGTATTTTACAATCCTTGCGTGTTTTGTCGGTGACCCAGTTGAAAATTTGAAATTTTTTATTATTTGATGCGTACCCATTTGAAAATTGGATCTCTTTTTGATGAGGTCTTTGAGATTCCTTTTTGCTGGATTTCAATTATTTCTTTTCCTTCTGTTTTTTTTTTTCAGTTTATTTTGTGTGAGAATTTATTCGGCTCTGTTATTCTAAGTTTCTTCATTCATATTCTTATTACCTGAGTTGTAATAAGAACATTTCAAACCTCTTCGAACTTTCCATGATTTATCTAGTTTTTTCATTTCAGATTCTGCATCTTATGAGGGTATGGATGTGTGTCTGAGAGGACTCTAACTCAATATTTTCCTTTGTATCTTATTTTTTGCAGAACTCTTGAGTCATAGACTTTGAATGAAATTCTGTTTTTCATTGATGAGACTCAATTGAAGTGAATCACTGAAAAACATCTCTTTCATAGTCTTTGAGGTACAACTGAAGCTGTTAGATTTGTTTTGATTATAAGAGTTTCTTGGATCTCGGAGTATGGCTGGGAATCAAGATCAGTTCGAGATCAAGTTTCTGTTGATTGATGGTTCTGATATTGGCCCCAGAAGTTTTCCTGCTGCTACTAGTATTGCAACATTGAAAGAAAGTATTCTTGCTCAGTGGCCAAAAGGTTACTTGTGTTACTATTGTCTTTTCCTTTATGCTTCTCTTTCTGGTCTTCTCGTTTAATAGTTAAATTATCAATGTAGTATTGTTCATGTTCGTTGTGATGAACTTTGTGCTGTAAATTAAGAGAGACTGATGGTTTGGTTGGCTGAATTGGAAAACATGGTGACAGAAGGTACATGAAATTGATGTAAATTTTGTTCTTTTGGTTATGAAAGAGCTCTAAGACTTGGAATAGGAAGAGGTAAGTGGGCTAAATTAGACCCAGAGCAGCCTAGTAAGATTCGGTTAGGGTATCAACTAGTCCCTGAAGGAACTTGCTGCCTCTTAAGTTAAGTCTCTTGGACTGGATGTAGTCATTGATTTTAGAAAATAAGCATTGAGGATGACATAGTAATGAATTCCTTTTAGTGTATGGTTATTACTTTTTGAGCAAGTGCAGATGTGGTCATTGCTAAAGTGATGAAGAACTGCTGAAATATTTCATTCTTCTGAAGAGATCAGAAAATAAACTCTGAATGAAAATATTTTTGATTTAATGTAACTTTTAATCTTTGTCAAAGATATGCTGTGCTGTCCTGTGTATTGTTGTGCACTTGAATGTGTCTATGTGACTATTTAGTTTTTTCAGTTCCTTTCAGCTAAGGTAGATTTTCTTTTGAAATTGAGGAGACTTTGTGCTAATAAAATGACATTTTCTCCATACAAAGGCACCTTTAGGAGTTCATAAATTGTGACAATATCTAAGGTGATAAGACCTGGATAACAGCCTTAAACTAAAAATGTGAGAAAGACTTTGTATAGGTCCCTCATTTAGTAGTTTCTTTCTTAAAGTTCAATTTCTTCTCCTTATCTCATACTATCCAGTTTGACTTGTTCAGGATTGATGCCTTTTGGGTATTAGTGGTATAATGACAACGAAATATGTATCTTTCATTATTTTTCTATTTCTTTAAACTGAATCTTCTTAATGTTTAGGTTTTCTTTGTTGCTTGGTAATTTATGGAGAGGATGCTTTTATCTTAGTGTCCATACCATTGCTCATTGTGGATCTCGAATGGTGTGTTTACACGTAATTTATATTCTTTTACTGAGATACAAGCTTACTTGTTTCCAGGATTCACTGCAACTTGCTGGTACACAAGATATAATGAAAATGACATTTTCTAAAATTCAATGGATACATAGTTTTATTTGGCAAAGGTAGCAAGACTAAAAATGATATTTTAAGTAGAGCCTGTCATGCATTAAGATGTTTGTCATATGGTTTAATATATTGTGAGCTTCACACTAATTTTTTTGCCATGTTTTTTTGTGATATATGAGATCTGTAAGTTTCCGTTTTGTTTTGAAGATAAGGAGAATGGCCCAAGGACTGTAAAAGATGTGAAGTTAATTAATGCAGGAAAAATATTGGATAACAACAGAACAGTTGGGGAGGAGTGCCACAGCCCATTATCTGATGCCCCCGGTACAGTTACAACAATGCATCTAGTTGTTCAACATCCTACAATGGACAAAGGTCTAGCATTTTTTTATTTTTTTGAGACACTAGTTTTAATATCTTCAGTCTAGAGAAGCTAGGACTGAAAACTTTTAGGGGACATTTGGATAAGGATTTGTTTGATTTGAGAAAACTTATAGATAGAATTTATAGGGAAATGCTTTATTTTTCAATTATCAGTTATAATAGCACTTCAGGTGCCAAATGCTCTTCAAATAAATCTAAATTTGGAAACTACTTGCGTCTAAATGTAAAATTACTGCTATTTTGTTTGACTGATTTTGATTCCATTCAGTTCTGGTCCTTAATCTGATACAAATTGGTCTTTTCGCCTGATACAGATAAGAAAGCTGCTAGCAAAGCAACGCAGAACAAATGTGTTTGTGTGATTTTATAGCATCCAGATTGAATAGCAGATGTCATCTGTCTTAGGTGGTTAGAGACACTTCATTTTTACATAATCTATGGCTTCCAAAGATTTCCTCATACACAAATTATTTGGTTGCATGTACTACAAGCAAAAAGTACTGAGCTACGTACCCGAAAGAGAAACAAAAGCACTTGACTTGGTGAAGATTGTGAAGCTGGTATAGCTCACGATTCCTCTGCAGTAGTAAATGTCTTGTACAATTTTCATAGGATATATTCTTATGCTGGTCTCAACATCTAGGTGTTGCCTAATCCGCCACTTGGCATAATTGTTGATTGAAATGAAGTCTACTAGTTTGCCATCTTTCCCCTGACATATATTTTTCAAATTTTCTCTTGCCTGTGTCTGATACCACATGCTTCCAAACATATATGTGTTGAATATTTTAATGTGTTTTAATTTGCTTATTATATATATGATACCATTGCAAGTCCTGTATAGCTTGTGGCAATAGTGGTTTTACCACATCTCTCTTGCAAATTGGAGATTATGCTTGAATCTCCTTTGCCTTCCTTCATATTTTAAAATAAATTAAAAAGACCAAAGTGTCGTACAAGTTTCATGCCAGAAGGCGCATTCATTTTTCTTTTGGAAAACTTGAAGGTTTAATTTTACAGCATAACTATGTGCATCTATTCTTGGAGTAATAACTAATTCATGTTATAATCAGCAAAGTATTTCCACTCAAAAGGAGGGTTGGATAGTTACTGATCACAGCCTTGCTTTGCTTTTTGCAAAGATGGGATACATAAGGAAGAACACCTTCCCCCTCCCAAATCCCTACATTGCTAACTGGATCTTAAAAATAATTCCTGAAATTATCGTAGTATATAATTACTGAAAAACTTAGAAGATGAAATAAACCATTAGTCTGATAAATTCATTTATTTATATTTTGATTCCTATGGTTTTTTCCTTTCTTAAAATCATTATTTTTTTTATATTTTTACTCATTTATGTTTTGCTCTTTATTGTTGAGATATTGGTCTTATATTTTTCGCACACTTGAGTTTTTCTACATATAAGTTTCACTTGTTGCGGTATTTGTTTTGTGGAACTGAAATCTAAACAACTAAACTAGAGAGATCCATGTTAAAAAAGTTATCAGGACTAAATTTCAAATCAAATGAAATTATAATTGTTTATTCTATGATGAAATAAACAATACCTAATTAAGTGTTGTATGTATCAGAGTTGGAAGGAAGACAATGAAGTGTCACCCCTTGAAGGGGCAAGAAATTTTTGCTCCAAATTATTTTAACACGATTTTATTTAATAAATATATAGAAAGTCTTAAACAATTTTAACTTCTAAAAATCTGATCCTAATTCCCTAAATAGGTCAAAGCAACAATAGTTGTTTTTTATGCTGCTACTTTTGGAATTTTTGCAGACATAAAAACGAACATGATCAAAGAGTCTGCATGTACAATTAACTTTACATGAAAAGAATTTTACAAGTAAAATTATGCACCCTAATATGATAATGAAGGTTTCAAAATTATTAATTAAAGAAATATTTCAAAGAACTTACATGATTTTTAAAATTATGATATTCTTATCAGTTTTTTAAAATTATTTTAATAGGTATTATGATTAAGCTTATGATATAAGCTCTTCAGTAATAAATTTATTAAAAAATTATCTCACACGGGTCCTTCCACGTTAAACACAAAACGATTGGTACAAGTACCTGAGCCAAGGAAAGGAACAACAAACAGGTCACAAGACAAATCCAAATGTTCTGATGTTTGTCTCTTGCTAGAGCTTTTGCACTGATTTAATGCACATTACATTGAATAATACAATAGGTTACTAGTATCTAAACTTGCTTGCTCATGATTTAATGTAGTGGCCACACTCTAAACACTCCCTTGTTATTCTAACTTAACACAAGTGAATTTAAATTGTGACAGTGTCATGAATGGGTACCATCCGTTTTTTCTTTATTTTTTTAAAATATATGACAGGTATTAATTATTTTCAAAGATTATTTTTGCATTTTCGAAATTTAATTTTCAGAAAGATAACATAAAAAGAAAAGGGCAGATATGGATTGGGCCTTGTGGGCTGCACTGGTTGGCTACCATGTCAGAGAGCAAGACAAGATTGTGGATGACAGTTATGACTATTGGGTGTATGAATTTAGATAACTCAGATATCCAAATTCGCTCAAAGGTTTTAAACTTGTTCAGAAGATGCAACTAATTTGCTCGGAATCACCTATAAATAGCTATGGATCTATGTTCATTTTAGTGATATTAGTTATATTTTCTATGTTAACGTAAATTGAAAGCATATTAGAAAGTGGTTACAAGCATGCTAATAATCAACTTTGCAAACTCTATGCAAGTTATAAACTACATATTTGATTTCAGCTTAAAATGGCTATTTATATACAGTACACTTTTTTGGGGATCATTGTATGCATAGTATATTAATTTAGCAAATAGAATATTAAAAATAGCATGTCAAATATCTATATTCAGTGTCAGCATCGCTACTTTTAACATGAAAATGTTATAGAGCAATGAGTCTCTGTTTTTCCAGTGCCATGTTCCCCCAGGTAAAAGAAATTGTGATTAAATCACATCATTGCCAGATACTAAGAAAATTGTGAACTTTCATACTTCAACAAGACACAAATATTCATATACATTAACTAAGTGTATTTAAAAATACGTTAAAAAAATCTATAAACATAAGTCTAATATATAAACATAAAAAATGCATTAAAAAATCTTTGTATTTGATTACACGTTAAAACTTCACGTAAACATAGATTTGATATAAACATAGATAATCCCTCAGCTCATTTGAGATTGTCACAAAAAAAAAAATGCATCAGCGTGGACTCCTACTTGTTTGGACAATGGTTTCAGCTTTTTAAAAAATCTGAAACATTGATGCTTTTTTCATCCGTTATATGCATTAAAGCTAAGATGCACACTATCATTTCCTTAAGATTGATAGGAAAAAAGAATGTCAGCACAACTTTAATTTTTATACCTTACTTTTTTTTTTCTCTGTCCATCTCAGACTAATTTTTTAATTATCTTAAATAAAGTTGTTTTTACAAGTCACTCGTTCTACACGTTAAATTATATTTTAAAAAAAACTAAGGTGTATAATTTTTTAAAATATAGTATGAAAGATTTAAAGTTGCTATAAATTAAATAATTAAGATAAACAATATCACTTGAGTAAAATATTTATAATTTAATGTGATTAAATTTTTCAGTAATCTTTTTAAATAAGCAAAACTAAAATTCGAGAACTTAATTAATAAAAATGAAGCATATATTACTGAAAAATAACAGTTCATTGATAAAGTTAAAAAATGATATTTTAAGTAAGTTTAAAAATGCAGCTAAGCTAATTAATAAATTGATAAGTCGTCAAATTATATTTTTTTAATGAGGATCAAAACAATTAAGGTAAAAACAATCCAACACATACTAAATTTATGTATGTGTTGTAAATCTTTTACTGAAAAAATTTGCTCAAAGTTGAGGTCACCTCATGACGCCTTTCATTGATATCCAAAAACCAGACCACGTGGAATGAAGGCTTTTGTAATGTTTTAGCGTCGAACAACGTAGACATGCTTCCCGAACTTCCGAGAATGCTCCACACTCACTCTAACTTCTTCCTTTGAATTTCAATTCCACCTTTTTTTCTTTTCGTTTCTTCTCTTTTCTTTTCTCACTGTCCACGCAACACAAAGTTCTCTTCTCTTCATTTCTCTTCTTAATTTTTCCCTCTCATTCGTTCCTTCCTTCACTCTCTTCCTCGGCCATGGCCTCTACGACGTCGTTTTCTCTTTCCCACTTTCTTCCTATATCGTGCAACAGAAACCACGCTCGGTTTTCTCAGCTTTACTACATCTCCCTCTCTTCCTCCGCAAAACCCATTTCCCTGAAGCCCCTTCAATCGCTTCCCTTCTGCAAAAGACACCTTTTTGCAAATGGGTTTCACACAATTCGAAGAAATTCCACACCTTTCTCCGTTCGCTGTGAAGCTTCTAGTGGAAGGGTATCATATTGCAACGCATTTCATTCTGATTTATTCTCTTTTTTTTTTCCTTTCGAAGCTTTCAATTACCATGCTTAAAGTAAATTTAAAAATTATAATTTTAGTAGAAGTTAGTTTAAACTTTTGTAATTATTAAGGTTTCTCTGTCGGAAAACATGGTTGATAGAAGACAAAGTTGAGAGGGAAGAAAATGACATTGGTCGAATGGAGAAGAGTGATCTTCAATGGGCGAAGATTACTAATAAGTAATAACTGATCACTGACTAGTTACTAACCAAACTCAAACAATTTTGAACCACATGTGGTGATTTTCTCAGCTAGTTTGCAATTTGGAAATTTTGTGAATATGGGTTGTGTCATGGTTGTTGGGGGTTGGGGAGTGCATTGGTTGATTTTGAGATTTTGATGCAATGGCAGATTACACAGCAAGAGTTCACGGAGATGGCGTGGCAGGCGATAGTTTCATCGCCGGAGGTGGCCAAAGAGAACAAGCATCAGATTGTGGAGACAGAGCACTTGATGAAGGCTTTGTTGGAGCAGAAGAATGGGCTTGCTCGCAGGATCTTTTCAAAGGTTGGAGTGGATAACACACGACTCCTTGAAGCAACTGATAAGTACATTCAGCGGCAACCTAAGGTGATTTGCAGATTCTAACAAGTTTGACGTGCGCACTTGTGTTTTATTGGCCGCTTGTGTTTGACAAGTACTAGTTCGTGGATGGATGAGATATGTATTTTGTGGTTCTCTATTCTGTACCCCAAAAACCTTGTTTTAACTCATTATTGATTATCAATTGTGATAGGTTCTAGGGGAATCAGCCGGTTCAATGTTGGGGCGTGATTTGGAGGCATTGATTCAGAGAGCTAGGGACTACAAGAAAGAATATGGAGACTCATTTGTTTCAGTCGAGCACTTGGTTCTTTCTTTTTCCCAAGATCAACGATTTGGGAAGCAATTCTTTAGAGATTTTCAAATATCTCAGCAGGCTCTAAAATCTGCAATAGAGTCCATCAGGGGACGTCAGGCAGTTATTGACCAAGGTCACTACATTTTCCATTTGTCTTCTTTTTATAACTTTTAACATATGATATGCATTTGTGTGTGGTCTTCTTTTTATCTTTGTCTTATATCTTTGTTTTGGAGGAAGGCTACTTAGTTTTTAATCTGGTCCTATTGAAGACTTGAGCATGGTTTGGGAGTATTGAGCACCAGTGGATTCCTGTTGTCCTTTATTTTTTTTTCCATGAGCTTATTGAAACTATATGCTGCGAGTGATTGTCAATTTTGTATTGCTGAAGGCTCATTTTAAATTTCTATATAGACCCTGAAGGGAAGTATGAAGCCTTGGAAAAATATGGAAAAGATTTGACAGCAATGGCTAAAGCTGGAAAACTTGACCCGGTCATAGGAAGAGATGATGAAATTCGCAGGTGCATCCAAATTCTCTCTAGGAGAACAAAGAACAATCCCGTGCTAATTGGTGAGCCTGGTGTTGGAAAGACTGCAATTTCTGAAGGGTAAACGCTTAGTTCTTCCTCCTTGTTGTTGCCTATGATTGGATTACATTAACATTTGTTGAACACTTTTGCTGTTAAAATCTTTTAGAATTAAATGTAATAGCTCACTAATACCAGTATTGGTGGGCCTTAATTCCAATGTCTAACCTGTTTCATGAATACTAGCAATGGCACCCATGACACAGATTCAAAAATAATAAAAATCAAATTTTTTTATACGCATGATTATATATGCCTTTTGAAATTATAAAATAAATTTTATTGAAATATACAATATGTGTAAAATTAGTCTTTAAAAGATAAGTCTTTTAAAGAGGTAGTGAGTCTTAGAGGTTGGCCTAAGTGATTAATTTCTTTGTCCCTTTAGTGGTATAAAATATAATGGCAGAAACAATATGATTAATTTTATGCTCAGTGCTTAGTGTGAACATTAATTCCCTTTAAATTTGTGTTTTGCCAGTGTTTCAGGTTTTTCAGATAGCTTTATTGGAAAACAATCAGATTATCTAATTTTATTCTTGCTTGCTTCTTATTTCAATGCTTGTGTTAGTATTTGCTTCTATGTCATATTGAACTGATTCTTCCTTTGAAACAGACTTGCTCAGAGAATAGTGCAAGGAGATGTTCCTCAAGCTTTGATGAACCGCAGGGTATGTGCTATAACCAAATGCTTGGGGTATTCTTTATATTAGATGAAAATGAAGGGAACTGATTTTTAAGTTTCTACACCATATTCAATTTCACTATAATAATCTCTATTATATCCTCTTGCCATTCTAGTTTTACTTGCACTGTAATGAAAAATGTAATATTTCTCTTATTCTATCCTCATTTGAAAGTTTGTACATTGTCCTGGAATTGTAAAATTGATCTTTTTGCATTGGTCATTATTCAGCTTATATCTCTTGATATGGGTGCACTTATTGCTGGAGCAAAGTACCGGGGAGAATTTGAAGATAGGCTGAAAGCTGTACTTAAAGAAGTAACAGAATCTGATGGTCAGACTATCCTATTCATTGACGAGATTCATACAGTTGTTGGGGCAGGTAATAGGCTTCAAACCCTACCATTTTCAGACAGCTACGTGATGCAAATTGGTTTATATACTAAAACTCTATGGATTGATGGGGATTATGCTCATAGATCATACATTTTTATTCAAATAATTTTCCTGAAATATGACTTTTGTTTAATGCCAAATGGAGATTTGAAATTTAACTTGTGAATGTTGGATTTGATTGCAAATTACAATCTATCATATGCTAGGTGCTACAAATGGTGCTATGGATGCTGGTAATCTCTTAAAGCCTATGCTTGGTCGGGGTGAGCTGCGATGTATTGGTGCAACAACACTAGACGAGTATCGGAAATATATTGAGAAAGACCCAGCACTAGAGCGTCGTTTCCAGCAAGTTTATGTTGACCAGCCTACTGTTGAAGATACAATTTCAATACTAAGGGGACTGCGGGAAAGGTATGAACTACATCATGGAGTCCGAATTTCTGACAGTGCACTTGTGGAAGCTGCAATTCTCTCAGATCGATATATCAGTGGGAGATTTTTGCCTGACAAAGGTAATAAAACCTTTTTCTTTTAACTCTGAATATTTTGAACAAAGATTAAGTTTCTGAAGCATTGATATTATTAAAGTTATTAATATGACAGCTTACAAATTTTATGTGAAAGAAATTTGAATTCTGGATTAGAACTCTTTCTGATTTGAGCATGCTTTTGAGAATATGTGAATTCAGTTGAGGGTTTGTGGAAAATTAGTTTATATATGTTTGTTCGAAAAAGAATCCCTATGCAATTGTTCTTGAAATCTTTAAAATTCCAATTCTTTGAGAATAGTTTGCTGCCATTAAGGGATAAACCATTTAAAGTTTGAAATAGTTTTGTAAAACTTCAAATCTATAGCTCTTGGCTGCTGTTGGGAAGAAGATACATAATAGTACTGGTTTCTGAAGGACTGATTTTGAAATTTGAATGATCACAATATAGTTGTGTCATTTTCTTTTTGTTACACTAGGGTTTAATTTGTTAAAATTACTTATTGGACTGGCATCAGCATCAACAATGCTCATAAAGCACTAATTGCTAACTTCTTCCAACTTGCAGCTATTGATCTAGTTGATGAGGCAGCTGCCAAACTGAAAATGGAAATCACGTCTAAACCTACTGCACTTGATGAGATAAATCGGTCAGTATTGAAACTAGAGATGGAGAGACTTTCTCTCATGAATGATACAGATAAGGCTTCAAAAGATAGGCTGAATCGTCTTGAGGCAGAGCTTTCTCTCTTAAAAGAGAAACAGGCTGAGCTGACTGAACAGTGGGAGCATGAAAAGTCTGTAATGACTCGTATTCAATCAATCAAAGAAGAGGTGTGTTATTATATACCTTTTTTTTTTCCAAGGTTGTCCTTTTCATTTTAAATAAACAATTGTTTAAGAGATGGGTAGGATTAATCTAACATTCTGCGGTATTGTCAGCATGTGGAACTAGAGCAAGTCATTGGTTGAGTTGGTAATTATATTTGAAATTAGAAATTTAATTATGCAAAACATGATTATATTTTAATATATGATAAACAACTGATGCTAATGATTTCTGTATTTGTGCATCAGATAGACAGGGTGAATCTTGAGATTCAACAAGCTGAGCGGGAGTATGATCTTAATCGTGCTGCTGAATTAAAGTATGGCAGTCTAAACTCCTTGCAACGACAACTTGAAAGTGCAGAGAAAGAGTTAGATGAATACATGAACTCTGGGAAGTCCATGCTGAGAGAGGAAGTTACAGGAAATGATATCGCTGAAATTGTAAGCAAGTGGACTGGTATCCCTGTTTCAAAACTGCAACAATCAGAGAGGGAGAAGTTGTTGTATTTAGAGGAAGTACTCCATAAGCGAGTTGTAGGTCAAGACCCTGCTGTTAAGGCAGTTGCTGAGGCAATCCAACGTTCAAGAGCTGGTCTTTCAGATCCTCATCGGCCAATTGCTAGCTTCATGTTTATGGGACCTACAGGTGTAGGGAAGACTGAGCTGGCTAAGGCACTTGCAGCTTACTTGTTCAACACGGAAGAAGCACTTGTACGGATTGATATGAGTGAGTACATGGAAAAGCATGCAGTGTCAAGATTGATTGGTGCTCCACCTGGATATGTTGGATATGAAGAGGGAGGGCAACTTACTGAGACGGTTCGCCGTAGACCTTATGCTGTTATTTTGTTTGATGAGATTGAGAAGGCACACTCAGATGTCTTCAATGTATTCCTTCAAATTTTGGACGATGGAAGAGTAACTGACTCACAGGGTCGCACTGTGAGTTTTACCAATACTGTTATCATTATGACCTCAAATGTTGGATCACAGTACATTCTCAACTCAGATGATGATACTGTGCCTAAAGAGTTGACTTATGAAACCATAAAGCAGCGCGTAATGGATGCTGCAAGATCCATCTTTCGCCCCGAGTTCATGAACAGAGTGGACGAATATATTGTTTTCCAGCCTCTGGACCGGGAGCAAATTAGCAGCATTGTCAGGTTACAGGTAATTTCACTTCTTAATGCATCATTGTCCCGAATCTCGCCATCCAAAACTTGACTAATTTCAATATCCAACTCTATGCATATTGACTGAGTTCTCTTAAGGATGGTTGAGTCTCTGAATTTGGCTTGCATAGATTAACTTGCACTTGGGTAGGGGGGTTCTTCTTTGATTGACTGTTAAAACATAGTGTGAAGCTTGAGCTTAGAACAAAAGCTGCTATATTGTTATCAAAATAAGAAATTGTGTAAGCTTGTTTAGGTAGTGTTTAGCCCAGTTTTTTTTTTTGGGCTTCTCTTCTGCTTAAAAGGAGATATTGGGCTAAACATAATTTTAAGAAAGGGAGCTTTAAAAAAAATATTTGTTTTAATGAAGAAAACTTTAAAGTAAAAACCTTTGTCATTGTGGTTTATTACAGTTGGAGCGTGTGCAGAAGAGAATTGCAGATCGCAAGATGAAAATCCAAGTGACGGAAGCTGCTATCCAATTTCTTGGAAATTTGGGATATGACCCGAATTATGGTGCTAGACCAGTCAAGCGAGTGATTCAGCAGAATGTAGAGAATGAACTTGCCAAGGGTATTCTGAGAGGAGAATTTAAGGAAGAGGACACGATTTTAATAGACACAGAACTCACAGGTTTTGCCAACGGTCAACTTCCCCAGCAAAAACTTGTTTTTAGGAAGCTTGCAGCTGATTCAGAACCTACCACTCAAGACACATTGGAACCCTTTCCACAGGCTCCTTGAATGCCGTCTACTGCTGCTGCTTTTTCCTCACAGTAGTAGGTTTCCCACAAATGAGTATACACGGTTTCCTTTTAGCAATTGAACAATGATCCCGGTGCAATTTGCATCTCATATATAATTTATATTATCAATGAGCATACCACAAGCAAAATATCACATTTGTGGAACAAAGCTGTATAAATATTTTACCTTTGTCTCTGTTGAGGGAGTAGCATCCTGCAGAACTAGCTAAACTTACCCCCCATCATAATGTTAATAGTGATGTAAATGAGTAAAGTTGAGCTTATTTCAGTTGCGTCGAGTTAGATTTATTCCAGCTTCATTAAGAAAAGTTAGGTTTTGTGAACCATGACTATATGCTCGAAGGACAAAATAAAAAAAGTCAAATAACAAACTAAAGATCATAAGTATGAAGTATCTCATTCCAAGTTGGAGAAATAAGCATTAAATCCCCCATTCTTATACAAATTCTGACCAGCCATAAACGAGATAATACCTTTGTCTAATTTAAAATTACTGTTTATTCTTCGTCGCTGGAGTGGGTTTGGGACTGGAAGGCGTATGTGTACAAACCTAAAAAAGGAAACCGATGAAGCATAATAAAATTCATGCGATTCAATGTCTCTGGATGATAATGAGAACATACAAATGAATCCTAATGATACTGTACAATATGTATTAGTGCACACGCATGTTTGTCACCAGGAAAAGACACCACACATCAATATACATGGTATATCACATTGTTCACAGCAACCTTCGGTATGATGATTCATACGAAAAATTGGGTTAGTAATATCTCTGTTCTTGGAAATGTTGGCTTGGGTGAGCCAGAAGCATCGAGATCAAGGGTAAATTAATGGTGTATTTCAGGTGCAGTTCAGCTGAAATTGACCGTTAGTGTGTTCAACCAACTTGTGAGGACTTTCCGCCATCCTGCCCAAGGATTACAGGGCGAGTCATATTGTTAGGACCTCAATAAGGTAGTTAATGCTTGTGCCTTCAGGATTGTCAACCCTTACTACTATTAGTTCTAAATGTTTTCTACTTTTAATATAAACTTTCATTCCAGTGATGCACGATTTGAATACATGTAGCATTTTATCTTGAAACATTGGTCGGTTAAAGTTCACAAAAAAATAAATATCAGATTGGCTAATGAAGTAATTAGAGTGCTAAATTTTTTTTACAAGAATGTTTTTACATGCAATATTTTACTTGGATTTTGTTAATGGCGTTGTAGTCGTTTCTACATTTTTACATGTTTTTTACGAGCAGATCAATATATCAGAATCAACCATAAGCAGTATATAACAATAGTAATAGTACTCTATCACATTCTTTTCCACTCCAGTAATTGTATGTATAATGTTAAATTTGTTATTCAAAATCCTTTTTGAATATTAGCATTATCAAATTATATTATATGCTTTACAAAATCCCATTCTATGAAATTATTGATTTTTATTTTTTTTCTAATTGTAAAGAATAAAGATTAACCACAACTAAAACATCCAATTAAATTCCGCCTAGTGGCATTCTAAATGGATCCAGTTCTAAATGAAAACCACTAGCCACAATTACTAGATTAAACATTTCCAGTTAGAAAAATGTTAACCTCAGTCAGCAGAATTTAAGCACTAAAAAATAACAGGGTTTTATTGAAAAAAAAAAGTATCACACTTTTATAATTTTAATGTAATAAATGTGTTTTTTCCCATTAAATTTTACTACTTTTGGAAACTTTCACGGCTGAGTTTAATAAATCGCTTCCAATTTTAATCTCATTTATATAGAAATGTAAATAGACAACATAAACAAAAGTAAGTTGTGCTTTTCAGGATACACATACCTGAAAAGCATTTAGGTATTATTCCAACTCAGATGCCTCTTCTGAATCAGACAATGGTAACAAGGTACATATCCCAAGCATATGGCCATTGAGACACACATAATACTCAATACAATCTTCATATGAACCCAACCTGCAACTAGCACTTTGAGGGATCATTTTGGCTTGCAGCATGCTCCACAACTTTGCCTTACAATAAGGGCAGACTTCTGTTGGATGGAGCTTGGCACCTTTATTAATAAGCATCTTCCTGACCTTTGAGGTTGCAAATGATTTAAAAACCCCACGGAAGAATCCTACATCTCCTTCTTCACCTTGGTCAAGATGCTCACAAGGATCAGACACATACAAAACATCAGTTCTGCATTGTGGCAAAAGAAAGCTCTTTCCTGATGTTCTAGAAAATCGAGTCTGATAAACAAAGTGACCAGGGATCTGAATGCTATTGAACAAGCCACCTTTTGTGCACCCTGAACAGTATATAAGCAGCTTCCCCAAGGCCCTCCAGTTCCCATCAACAATGTGGCTTCCATTAGATTGCAGATCATGCAACATCTTCGGTGCTCTTGTTTTGCAAAACTCTTTCCATAGAACACGTTTGGCGAGATCATCAAACCATTTGCACACACACGACAGAGTCGCAATTAGCTTGGGATTCCAATTCAAATTATGAAATACTAAGAATATCACATCTTCACTTAAATGCCCTTTAGTACATTGACAGCTAGATGAGTGTACACACCGGTACTGCTTAGTGAGAATCATGTTCTTCACCTAGCAAAACTAAAAATTTATCAGTTTATAACTTATGTTGTATTTATAAAGTTGACAAAACCTAACACCGAATTTCAAAATTAAATACTTCATGGTAAAAAGGAGAAATCAAGACAACAGATGAAACCAATGCTGAACTATGCAACTAACAATTTTATAATAATAAATCTGAAGCAAATAACTTATAATCAAGAATCCTCCTAAACAGCTTGCTTTCTACAGTACTCCAAGTTAGTTCAAGAAAAGAATAGAAATATCCTCTTCTCCTTCGAATGCACTTGTACAGGGTGGATTTCCAGCGTGCTGTTTACTTCAATTACTTCCAAGTCTTACAATCCATAAAATACCTTTTGGGTCGGGGGGGATATTCAGAACTATAGGCAACAGAGAAATACGTTTTCAAATCTTCCAGCAATAACACAATCACCAACCACATAACATGACAAAATTTTACTACATTTTCTCAATCCAATTCAATCAGCCCCCAAAATTTCAGATTGCAGTCACACATCCATAACAAAAATGCAGTGAGTTAAACCGAATTCCTCGTTAGAGATAAATCTAAACCCACCCTAAAACCAGAATTCACACACAAAACGAGAAAATTCGAAAGAAAAAAAAAACTCGACTCAGATGAAGAAATTAACCAAAACCCAAGGAATGAAAATTGCGAATAGAATGGATCTCAGTAACTTCAGATCCTTTGAAAATTTAAGAGAGAGAGAGAAAGAGAGAGAGATTTGGGTCACCTTAGCTTATTTAACCCGCTTTCGGCGTAGCCTCCAAACCCTAGAAAAACCCACTTCTGCATGCAATTGGGGAAACACAGATAAGAAAAACTTCAAAAGGAAAACAAAAGAAAATGGTACAGTAATTTCACCTCTGAGGAGGGGCAATTTGGTAAAGAGATGCATAGAACACACTGAAAGACAAAGTAGCAGAATGCGCAGAGAGAGAGAGAGAGAGAGAGAGAGAGAGAGAGAGAGAGAGGGGGGGGGTTGCAATTGCAGATGCAAGGGTTTGGGTTCATATGAAATGATATATATATTGAAGGACAATCATTGAATCATAGCTTTGGTACAATCCAAATGTCAAGGCCCAATAATATAGAGACAGCTGTCAAATGACGTCATGTTCAATGAGCTGGCACTGGAGAAAGGAAGTTTCGTGGGCCCACATTTCATGACGTGGCATGGAGACAACGGAAGGTCATTTTCGTAATATGTCGTGTGCGAGAAGCACGCCCGTTGTTTTGAACAATAAAGATAAGCAGAAAGATTTCACTGTCGGGAGAGAGCACAAAGTTTCCCGCAAATGATTTTATCGACCCATTCTGCCACGTGTCAGGTCATCATTTTCCCACTTTCTTTTTTTTTTTACAATAATTCTTACTCAGCATTTTTGTTTTTCTTTGTGCCCATGGCTGACATGCCAAGACTTTTTAATTAGAATTTTATTTCTAATATAATTTTATAAAGGTGGCTCAATAAATGTAGGGGTCGGCAGTCAGATTTATTAAAAAAAATTTACTGAATAATTATTTTTATAAACTTTTTAGATTTAAAGTTCTAATTAAACTTTTTTGATAATTTTTCAACAAACATTTTTTTAATAAAATATAAATCTTAATTAAGAATAAGATATATTTTTCTAGTTTTTTCTAATATTTTAACTTACAATTAATTCACGTGTTTAATAATAGATATTTCTTTCTAATACTTGTTGGAATTAATATTATTTTTAAAGTAAAATATGCATTTGAAACAAAAAAAAACTGAATCTTTTTATATGGATGAATAATTTATTGAAACTAATGAAACAAAAAAATAAATTTTGTAATAAATAAGTCTAGTATTAATATAATAAATTTATTTATTTTTTATTTTTAATCATTTGACCAATGCACCTAGTGTGTGTATGGCTTAAATCAAATGTTTGGTATTAACTTCAAATATGTTTTGCTAAAATTTAAAATTTGTCTTAAACTCAATATATTTTGATTCCCAATCCTCAGAACTCAGTACAGCAGACAGATATACAAGTTAAACAACCTATATTGACAGAATTATTTGTCCCTAAACACATAAACATCAGTCACTTTCGTGTGATACTTAGGTACAAGTTTCAAGAACAGAATGCAGAATGATCTACACCCGTGCTTCTACAGACAAGGCAAATTTATGTATACTTTCTGCAGAGTCATTAGCTTGTTGACTAACATTCACTGCCACAGGCTTGGATTTATTTTCATATCATTTTTTCACAAAGTGAAAGAAAATGTAGAAAAGGTCTACCCAGATCAATGGATAATGTTTGCAGAAATTTTTTTCTCTTGGAGAGAGATTACTGTTTCAAAGGCACTGACCAATGCTTTGACCTTCCCCTTCTCAATTTCAATCAGTTTACTTGCTGTTTCCTTTATTACATTATTATACAAACCATGTTCATCTTTCTTGGCCTGCACATCTTGATGTCTCAAAACAAGCTTCTCTGGACCAGTTATGGCACCAATATTGTCAGCATCATTATTGGCATCACTAGCATTGTCTCCCAACACACTTCCTCTAAGGAATTTAAGCCTTCTTGGACTATTTTTCTCAATTTGAGTATCAGCCATATTTGCTCTTAACTTTTGGCAGTCCTTGTCTTCAGAACAAACAATCTTATCCTCTTGAGGCTTTCCATTTTCTTCAATATCCAAAGTCTCGACATTTTCCATGTATTCAATTTCAGGATTTCCAGCAGAAGAATCCTCCTCAAATTCACTTGTTGCATATTCAGATTCTTCTTGGTCTTCCTGGGCTTCTTGGGATGACGATTGAGTACTTGAGGAGGACAAAAACTTGCGTGATGACACCAAATTAGAGGACATTTCACTCTCCTGGCTTTCATTTTGATCAGATTGCAAAGTTTGGTTTGCAGTTTCCATCTTGATGATATACAAAGTCTTTTCCTGAGCCTCATTGTTGTGTTCCTCAGGTTCAACTTCTGTAGGCTTGGGTTGATTCTTATTATGAGACTCAATTTTCGGGCCCTTGTGCTTTCTTGCATTAGTATTTGCAATTCCTTTGCAAGAAGGTTTGGATGACAACAAAGCCGTTAAAGGTAAAGCTACCTTGGAGGAGGATTCCCTCTTTTTCATCTTAATCTCACTATTCTTTTGGCCACCAAAGCCCTCGGAGGAATTCATAGAATATATTGTCTCCATTGTAACAGAATCTGGATTCAGAGAAGTCACAGGCTTTTCAGACAACTCCATTTCTTTATCTTCAAAAGAAGACACCTTAAACACCATCATGGACGCAGATTTTGATGAAGTTTTGACCATCTGGAAAGTTGAGTTTGGATGAGTTTTCATCATTTCAGAAGATGATCTCAATGGAGAAGAAGATATTGGTGAAGTTTGCACCCTCTTGGAAGTTGGTTGTGATGGAATTTCCACCCCAAAACTTGATGAAATTCCTTGCCCCCATGTTTTGGAACTTGAAGAAACATGGGATTTTGGAACAAATGATGGTTTGACCCTGAGCAATGATGCTATGTTTTTGTTTACCTGAACTCCATTCCCAATTTGTTTTTGGCTGCCAGATGATTTTGTTGCAAGTTCCTGCTTACTTGGGTCAGAGGTATAAAAAATCTGGAACTCAGAATCAAATGATTTTCTGTGTTCTCTGGCTAACACCTTTGTTGGATCAGAATCAACTGATGCTTTGACCTTGGCAACTGATGTCATTATTCCATCAATGCTCCCTTCTGATCTTCGGCGAAATGGTTTTCTTGCAGCCCTTTTAGTCATTGAGAGTATCTCCTTTGCTTCCTGCACATGTTTTCTCCCATATTTACAAAAATCATGACAGGAGCCAGTAGATGCTCTAAGGTAATGAGGAACAACTTTTTTCTCATTATTTCCAGAACTTGATATTCCAACTGAGTGCCTTCTTAATTCTACTCCACTTGACATTGTTACTTCTTTGATCATTGGCAAATCAACAATTTTCTTGGTAAATCAGATGGGAGATGAGATCTGCAGAACAAGATTCTGGACAACAATCCTGAAATGAAAACCAAGCTAATTTTAAACAAAAGCAAAGAAAAATACAAGATGGTAGTAATGACTGATTAAAACAGAAAATGCAATATAATGGCTAAAAATTTTAGTACAAGTACATAATTTAGAGCAAACAATAAATATCTACAATTTTAATGCAATGAAAATTCATCAACTACAGTTCAAATTAAATACAAGAGTATGTCACACACCAAGGATAGCATAATTCACACAATCTTTTGAAGTTACAAAAACAGAATATTTTAGGCCTTCTCTAAATTAGGCAAAAAATTTTCAGTGTTCGGAAAAATAAATGATCTTATGGTTTGAAACTCAAATAAGGTATCTTTAACTGAAAATGAACAAAATTTTTTGCTGCACAAAATGTTAAGAAACAAATTATTAGAAGTTAATGGGGCATCAGCCATATAACAATATATAACATTAAAATTCCTTGTTTTACATACGGTTCTTGTCGATTCTATCTAGATTAAACATTATGTCATTTTACAAATAAGATTACACGAGACAAAAAAGCAACAAGAACCAGCCATCAAGGCACAAATACAGAAAGGAAACGAAATCACCAAAAACAGCAAGAAAAAAAAAAACTAAGGACCTGTTTGGTTCGAGGAATCTGTTCTATTTTCATTTCATGTTTTCACAAATACATTCATTTTGTTTCTTGTTTTTATTGATTTGTAAAGGAAAACAGTTAAAATAGACCATGCCTTGAGAGTTGAGACATTCAACTTTCACAAATATACACCAAATATATGTGTCTCAACTATGCATCTCTAAGCTTTACCCTAATGAAAAAGGGCTCGTATAATCAAGGAAACATATTCATACATGAGATATAATAAAGTGCAGAAAAATATTCAAATTAAACCATCAAGCAGATTATTACATATTACATACAAGCAAGCACATTATTCATAATCAAATTAAACCAAACATAAGATATAATCAAGTGCAGAAAAATACTCATACAAATTAGGCATGCAGTATCCATTTCATGCCAACATAACACCAAAAAAAAATAATCATATTCGTATTCTGAGAAAAGCATCACCTTATACTGACTCTTCTGCACAAGCTCAAATCACAAAAGTACAGAACCCACAGCAACCGCAATGATCAAGCAAACTTCTCAGAAAACACACCAAAATGAAACCAGTTGAACCAAGACAAAGCAACAGAGAGAGAAATCAGAGCATGCTCCGAAAACCCTTCTCAGTATTTGATGAAAATCACATTTTTCAGCAAACCCACTTGTTTTGTAAGAAAATGAGCCAAACCCAGATGATAAAATTTTGGTAGTAACGTACCTTGGTTATATAGCAGAGTTTGGGAAGAAAAAAAGGGTGCTTTAACTGAAAACGAGGAAAAAGGAACAGAATGTAACAAAGTGAACACTGAGCCACTCCTTTTAAAGGATTTGAGAACGAACGTACTGCAAGAAAGCAACAGTTTTTGGTTTTCTTTGTTCTCGTTAAGCTCGTTACTTCACACGCAGCGTTTGTTTTTGTTATATTATAGAATCTAAAAAGGAGAGAGAAAGATGGTAACTTATTATTATCAATTTTACCTTTTATTAACATTATGAGTGTATATATATATATTTTGGAGTTTTTTGGGGTCTCATTTCAAATATTAATTTTGTAATCGGAGTATTTAATGCACCAGGAGTTAAGGAATGTTTTTATTCAAATTTGCTTGCAATAAAATGACAGGTTAATGTTCTGTTCAAATTGTGAAGATATTTTCCTAACATCTGTTGATATCAAATTGATTAATTTCTTTTCATATATGTTTGAATTTCAAATTTCGAATTGTCGATGCAAAAGTTAAATTTTTAATTGCTTGTGCAATTTAAAAATAAATAAATTTGGAATTGACTGTTAGATTTTCAAATTTTCCAAAAATAAGATAAAAAAAAGGTTAGAACCAGACCCGAGTACACTCCTCATTCATTTTTGTCATTTAATATTTTATGTAATTTTAAGAGCTTTGTCGTATCTTCTTACAATTTTTTTATTATTTTATAAAGTATATATTAAATAAATATATATATAATTATTATCGTCAAAATATAAAAATCATTCAACATTTTATTTATTTAATAATTAAAAATTATAAATATAAAAAAAAATATTTTGAAATTTCAAATGGACGTTACGCTGCGTTAACACTTAACGTAAAGTTTTCAAAATGGGTAAAATGGTAAGTGGACATTAATACTGAATCCATTACGGATTCTTTCGATTTCAAATGCATTCCCAAAAATTCAATGCTTTTCATTTCCCAACGACTGAGTGTATTAAAGTCAATGTGTTGTGGCAGTATGAGTTTAAGGATCATAAAAATAAATCTTAAAAAGTTAATTGTAAAAAAATTATTAATAATTAACATGAGTTATTTTAGTTTATCACGTCATTTTGAATTTAATTTTAATAAACACAAATGTGTTAAATATTTTTTTTATATTATAAATTTAAATCTTCACTTTTAAACAAGGTATTATTTTTCTGCTAAATTACATATTTTTTCTAAATAAATATAAATCATCTCATTATTTTTATTTATGTTTTTTCATCTCAAATATTATTATTTAAATTTAAGTATAAAAATCTAGTAGTTTTAGTTTTTTTCTAATTAAACAACAACTCTAATATATGTAGTTACAATAAAATCAATACTAAAGCAAATGATTATGAGAATGAATTAAATGATAAAGAATATAGAAGCCATACAGTGAAGAATTTGAAAATGTAAATATATTCTAATTCATCTCTCTTGTAATAAATAAATATTTCAACACAATTGAAGAATAATTAAATACCTTAAATACATTAATTTTTAACATTTTATATAAAAAAATACTTTATCATAAAAGGCAAAACCAATTTTAATAATCTTTATGTTTTTTAAAGTAATTATTTTACAAGTTAAGATATATCATCAATGTATATAAAGAAACTTTTAGAAATAAGATAAAATTTAATATATTTCCTTTTTCGTCTAAAAATTAACATCATCGTTAAAGTATATCTCACTTGTGTTATCCTTATCATGCCAATTTTTATTCACTGTTCATTCCTTTATTAATTTCCTAGATTTATTGGCAATGTTTTCAAAATTCAAGTCAAGGGATATTCACATATAAATTAATTAATAATTAATACATCAATTTATACTAATTACCGTAAACACACATTAAAATTAAAAAAAATAGTCGGATTACAAAAGGAGTAAAGGGATAATTGTAATAGCTTAAATTATATAAAATTAAAATATCTTATATATTACTTGAATCTTTGTAAATATAAGTGAAATATGACTCCTAACATAGTTGGTAGCTTTCTCCTCACTTTTCTTTCTTTTTCTATTACATTACTAATCGTTTTTTTTTTTTACTTTTTTTTTTCTCTTTTGCTTTTATTTGTCTCTACTAATACTTAACTAACACCAATATCTTCACCCTTTTACACATTCTATTAATCCCAAATTTTCATTTTGTCCTCTTTTTAGTTAACTATTTCCATCTTTCTCAACAATGTTTCTTCATTGGCCACGTAGTTTTATGGCTTTGAACAATTGTTTTGTGTGTGTAGTTGATCAATTTGCTCCTTTTATTTAGCGTTGCTGAGTTAGTCATTTCTGATAGATTTTTACACAAGAAATTTCCCTTTATTAGTGATCTCCTTTCACACATTTGTGGATATCAAACATGAAACTTCCTATAATATACATAATCGTATACGATATCAATGTTTTTATGTTTAAATAACGAAACTTGAGTCTAGCTAGTATTATGCTTAAAAGATGAACTCTTTTCCATTTCAAGGAAACAACAGAGGAGTTGGCGTAGTGCTTTGTCCTCATTTTCTGCCATGTTAGCTAAGTGGTGCTTTCCCTCTTCTCTGAGTCAGAAACAGCCAAACTAGTCCAACACAATTCTTAATTGCGTTATTCGTGCTAATTATTTCTTAATCACAATCGATATTATCATATCAATAACTCTAATCTCGGAGTCGAAGCAATTGATATGTTTAGTTTATTGTTATTGGATAGAAAAAACTTAAATAAAATATCATAAGTATTTTTATATATTTCTTTAATTAAAATTAAAATTTTAATCATAATTGAATGAGAACATACAAAAACACCTTCAGTATAGGATTCCACTCCACGTGTGTTGCTTCGATAATCACCACATACTACACAAAGTTGCAACTTTTTGTCATGACAAATGTCAGGTTTTATTTTATTTTTATGATATTTGCAGGACTATTTCTTGTCAAGAGTGAATAATCTATTAATTAAATTAGTTGTAGAATATGAATTTGATACTACGTCCATTAACTCCTCGTATTCCTATCTTCGCTAAAGAACTTATAAGGAGAGACAGGATAAACTTTATAAAAGTTTTTATAGAGAAAAAATTAATATAGCATATTAATAAAACTTTTTTTAAGTTAGAAATAATATATATTTTGATATATTTTGATAAGTTTTAAAAAGTTCTCTCATTTATTTATTTTTTAAATTTAAAAATATAAATTATTTTTAACTTTTAAAATAAGTGTACTGGATAAAGATCAATTCAGTCTTACTTGTAGGAAAAGGAAACCGAGTACTTATTCGGCATAATAGGCCAGATACCCCTCGTCAGGATTAAAAGGTAATTAACTTAATTAAGAGTAATAATCAAGATATTATTTACTTTAAATAAAAGACTAAAATGAAGACTGGCTCGATAGGCCCATTGGCCCATTACAGTGCCTATATAAGGAAGGTAAAAGTACAGGTAAAGCGTTGACTTTTCATTATTAAATATCATTTATTGCTCAGAACGGAATCCTGACTTCAGCATCGGAGTGTCTTTTGCAGGTACCCTTTTACGTCAGCAACGGTTAGAGAAACGTCAGAGCAGAGACTTGAAGACCTGTGTTACTTTAACATGAACAATAAGTTTTATATATTTTTATTTTATATTTTTCTTCTATAAACACTTCTTTAAAAATTCACTCAAAAAGAGTCATTTTTTTTAAAATAAAATGTTTTATAGCCTCTAAGTGAATGAGTTTTCTTATTACTTGAAAATTCTCATTTTCAAATAGAATTTAAGATAGATTTGTCACAAATTTCCTACAAACTTTAGATGAAATATCAATTTGAACAGATTTCAAATGAAGTATATTCCATCTTAAAACTATTCGTTGCAGATTTGCAATTTATCATGCATGTCGTCTCAAAAACCTTTAAGGTGGATATTCTATAAACACAAATGCTAATTAATACTATGTTTTTCTTCCCTCGCGAAACACACTAGGAAAACCACTCACCTGTTTTGTTTACTTTTTTCTTTTTTCTTTTTTTGTCAAATTTCTTCTTTTTTTTTCATTTTCGAGTTTTACATTTGTCCAATAGAATTTGAATACGTGGTTTTGTGAGCATTTCATGTGAAAATTTTTGTACTAATTGGCGGTGCTATTCCATAAAGTTTGAGTGCATATATAAAACTAACCACTTTTTATCATACCGATTTATTTCATATGAAATTGGACATAATTGATATTATAAATTTATGTATTTCTGATTATGATCGTCCAATTAGCTGTGTCCAATATGTTGTTTAACATGCTGGCTGGACTTGAAAGTCTTCAACCCAATTTCATTTTGCCACAGCTTAGCCCCAATTTTGATTGGTTTTCATTTCCTTTTTCAATAACAATTTTATTATTTAATATAAAAAAATTAAGTTATGATTAAATTTAACTTGGTCTATTAAACTTGTTTTATTGCGCCTTTTGGGTTTTGTATTCAACAAAATTTGAACTAGATCATCTTTGTCGATTGATTGATTTCTAATTCATATTTGAAAAATTATAAATGCAAATAGTTTTTAGGAGCATAAAATATTAAAATTAAAAACATAAATTAAAAAGGGACCAAATGGTTGGCAGACTGTTAACAAATATTGAATTCTACGTATCAAAAAAGTTTAAAATTTAAATAGCTTGATACAGACATCAAAGTACCAGAGTGCTTCCCACTATGTAATTGAGAAAGTGAATACGTATATGCAAACCATACATGAAAGATACAATTCCAACTAGAGTACAAACCTTTTCCAGTAGCCAACCAAGGGTAAATAACTAATATCAAATAATAAAGCATACAATGCTTGCACATGTAGCCAGACAAACAACTCGACCAATTATACTTACAATTAGCAAAAACAGAACTTTAAGTTGTATTAATAGGAACATCCAAATGTGTCCATGATACAAAATTGCTTTTCTGATATTGATCCACTTGATCACTAACTACATCGCATGCTCTTGTGAAGTTCAAATTCTAATAAAGCAACCATTTGCCACCAGGAAAAAGGTATTACAACCTTAATTTAATCAATACACGGCCTTGGTTGCCTCAAAATAGTTCATACCAAAAACTGATATCATTCCTTCCAGCCAAGCTGTACCCGAGCTAAAACCACGACTCAAAAAAGTTTACTGAGATTGAATGGGCTATATATGGTAACATAAATGACACACAAAGTAAATGGAGATGTTGGCCAATGGCGAAGTAGAAGACATGGGGCCACTAGGTGAAGCAAACTTACATGCATAATGCTTGCAAAGCAGAAGACATACAACCCCATGATCTCAAGTGATAATTTCCCTGACAAGCCAATCCAAACTAGGGTATGCAAAATACAAGATGAGAAATGATGGGAGGGCAAACACAATGGTAACAAGTATATACAGAGCCAATATGGCTGCACTGGCTGGTATTGCATATAAGACAATCAAAAGAAATATAATGATCAATGGGAACTTCGCTGTCAAGTGAACAAATAAAACCAGTGACTTCCGCAGAGAAGCATGCAGTCTTTCTATACTGAGGTAATTACCAGTAATCCCATGATGTTGATTGGATCTTGAAGACTCCGGACGGAAAACTTGTCCTCTACGAAGGTTACCATGGCTTACTTGGCTTCCTGTTGTTAAACTGTCTTTAATTGGCCAGACTGGTTGACTATCCCCACATAAAGTTGAATGTGACTTCACTCTATCACCATTCATGCTCTCGACCATCCAAAGAAGAAAGTAGTTCTTGCGAGGGAATTTCAGATTTCCCCGATACACTAAACGGATAGATAAAAGATTGCACCATGGGCAGGAGATAAAAAGTGGAAGTTGAATTGGCAGGGTTGGAAATTTCACCACAGCCCATTGCAGTCCAAGGATGCAATTTTTACAAAGGGTGTGGCCACACCATAAAACATATGGCACATTTTCAACAATGTTAAAAGATTCCCAGCATATTGGGCATTCTAGCCCTTCCTCTCTGCTCACCACAGAAGTCTCGTCATCAGAACATTCTGAAGCAGAGTGAACTGGTTTCAGAGAATCATTTTTCAGACCCAAACTTCCAGCAATGCAACTTGATGCGAAGTTCCACATTTTGAATCACGTCAAAATAGGTAACATAACCATTCAACAAGCATCATTTGGACCTCAATGTGGTCATTATTGACAGAACCAAAGCATCAAGTCTGAAATACTCAATTGCGACAGCAGTGTACCAAGTTTAAGCCTAAATAAAAACAAGTGTTTTATTAACAGCATCAATACTGAGAAATGTTTCATTACCAGAAATGAAAATATTTCTTTGAAGTAAAACGATATGTACATACTTAAAAGATAATAACCGTGCACACTCATGTTAAACACGTCCACACTCTTTCTACTAGCACTATTAACTATGATGCACAAATCTGATACACATCAGATACAATGCGTGTCCAATATGGCGATATGACTATTCCTAAAATATATAAGATACAATGTATGCAGCATACATAGATATGTATAAAATATTTATAAAACGTAATAAATATATAATAGCATTTCTTGGACATATAGTAAAAGAAAATAGAAATTATAAAGCATTGTCACCATAAGTTAGTGCATAGTGACTACAAGCAGGGATAGTGTCAATCACATTCCCTCAAGTAGTAGGGAATTGGTTATGTATCTGACATGTATGTGAAGCAAATGCAAATATCAGTGCGTCATACATAATCAATCAGGAAATAAAAATGAATGCCATAAGTCTTCCTTTCTGCCAAAACAAAAAATTGTTCATCCATAACCATACAACATGGTAAATACATTTAAAAAATTTCTAAAGCATAAATAATTACAAAATAAACTAGTAAGTACAAGCCATTATGCCACTGTCACTCTGTCAGTAATTATGAAAATTGTTTCTTTCACTCTATGAATCATGGCCTAGCCATAAAAACTATCATATTTTGAAACCAGAACAACATTATAAGCCCAACTCAGCAGATGCATAACATCAAGAAAATACCAACAAGCTGCAAAGAAGTCGTTAACCAAATGCAAAATAAAGTAACCGATAACTTCATACCCGATACGTATTTAGCACAGAACCTCTAAGGCCCGTGGTTGGATAGGGAATTTGAGAGAAAAAATAATAGCGTTGGGAAATGGGGGACTATCATATAAATCAAAATTATTCAAAACCATTTCCAAAATATAACTTTTTAAATCATCACCCATAATTCTTCATTTCCTTCTCATTCCCTCCTCTCCACACCCTCAAACACACCCATCATATCCCATATCTCCCAATTCCAGTAATTTGTGACAATTAGCTTCTTAAACCAACATATCAAAGTATAGCATTCATTTAATTCATGATAGCATCCAATAACTAAATAAACAAACAAACAAACTTACAATTGCAAACCAAACCAGGTAATTAAAATGAAACCACTTGCAACCCCAATTATTCATTTTTTTATTATTATTAAGAGAAAAGAAACCCTAATATAAGAGAACGCATGGGAAAATGGGAAGGGAAAATGCGAAATCAGATCTGAAGAATCACTGAAGCATAAAGGCAATAGCATGGGGGGGAACAGAAGAACGTACCGAATGGTGGAAGCGATTGCACGCAAAAATCACGTCAGAGAGAGACTGAAATTTAAAAATAAATAAACAAATAAGAAAAGAAAAAGAGGGTTAAAGAAAACCCCTCAATCTTTGTATCTCAATAACGCCGTTTTGAATATTTTAGCGTTGAACCAGCTACTGCGTTTTGAATGATACAATCGACATAACAAACGACGCCGTGTCGCTCGCCCTCTCATCATTCCACTTTTTAAAAATCAGTTATTATTAATATATCTCAAATATTTCTGTTATTTTCTTTTATTTATTGTCTCTGTTTTTATTGAATTATTAGCTTTTTAAGTGCTTTAGTTTTAAATATTATTTTGTAGAGATAAATTTTTTGAAGGTTTAATTAAAACAACGCTACTTACCATTATCATCGACTAAATTATGTATTATCATTTACTTTAAATTCATAATTTGTAATCTATTAATTTTGAAATATATTTTATTATATTATTTTGAAATATTATAAATAAATAATTTTTTACAGTTTTTCTAGAGATATATAATCTAAAATATTTTTAAATTAATTTATTAAAAATATAAAAATATGTGAGTTTCATTTCTTTATTTTTAATTAATTTTTTTAATTTTTAAAAAATTTTAATTAATAATAAAAAATATGTCAAAAAATATGTTAGAAAGTATGTTACTGGGATTCATTGTCAATAAAAATTATACAATTAATACTTTTTTTACTGGTATATATAATAATCTATTTTGCACATTTATAAAATATTTCACATCTTAAAAAATATTTAATCTCTTTCGTATATAATTATTTTTTATAAAAATTTTATTATTATTACACATTCATATCAACATTTGCACCATTTTTTATACAGTTTTTTTTTAAATTTAAACATTCACTGTTATATAAATATTTATATTGCAATTTATTTATTTATTCTAAATTGGCAGATATTTTATAATCACTAATAATTTTTTGAGTTTAAAATTTCAACATTTTAACTATTCCTTCTAATCAAGTAATAATTATTGCTAACTAAACTTCACAGAGGAAATAAAATGTTATAGTATTGAATGTTGAGCATCAAATTAATAAAACTTGGCAACTAAAATAAGATGAGGTTTTACTCATGTTAACAATGTCTAGGTGTATATGACAATCTTAATTTATTTTATTCTTACATTGTGTGACATATAAGACACATAGTTAAAGAAAAAAAATTGATAACCAGGGTCTAGCTGACAATCTTAAGAAGTTTTATTTTTTTAAAAATCATGTGAATTTTAAGATATGCAAGGAAATAAAAAAAGTTGATTTATCATTAATGTTTTCTAGCTTCTTCTTTTTTTGTTTTTGTTATATTAGAGGTATAAGGAGGGAGGTAACCACTACATGAAGATGGAGCTATAAAGCTGAAGGTGAAGTAGGATTATTTATTTATTTATTTTAAAAAATGAATATCCATGGACAAAGACAAAGCTTACAAATTACAAGGATGAAACACTTGGTAGACATGCTACCTAAATTGGGCTTCACATTATTTTGCATAATGGGTTATAGATATACACTTTACAGAAAGATGTCCTTTTTTCTTTTGTCAAACATGAATGATGTCATGTGATTTTTCCTTCTCCCAGGTTTTTGTTTTTGGATCAGGTCAGAACTTTAAAAGCCCATTGTCTTTTTTCTTTTATGAAGACAAAATAATTCGTAGGAAAAGATAAACACACACACACACACACACACAAAATATGGGAACAATGGTAAAACTAGGGGTGAAAATTAAAAGGCACAAAGCAGTTCCATGCAATATTTATATATGCCTATAAAAGATTTAAGTGAGTTGGGTCTCAAAGATCATTTAGAGGCAAAATATACTTTAAAGTTTAAAGAGCATTTATAAAAGTATTTACATTTAATTGTGTGAGATTTTAATTTCAGCTAAACTCAATTTAAGGTAACGTGTGATCAGCCCTGCTTAATCATATCACTTAAATATAAATTTAGGTAAAATTTTTAAGAAAAATAATATTATTTTCCATTTACTTGATGGTTTTTAAAAAGTATATATATATATATAAGCATTCCAATACAAGCCTTTCACCTTGATAACAGCTGATTTCATCGCACAACTTTATTCCACCCTTTTTGTAGGCTACTTATAGGCCTAGAATAATTTACTTAATTTATATATTTTTGTATACACACATTTAAAAATATACTTCAAAATAAAATTAAAAAGTTGTATTGTCTCAATTTTAAGTGCAAAAAAAAAAAAAATCCTTAAAATTTTCAACCAAAACAAAAAAAATTCTGGCTAGCTAATTTTCTATCTATAATAAATTTTGTTTATTCAATGACATTTATTATATAAAAATCAACACTAATTCACTGTTTTGTTTTAATTTAATAACACTTATTATAATGTTTATCAATCTATTAAGAAAAGAAAAAAAAAGTTGAGGGAGTGATGGCTCTCCTTGACAGGAAGCTCTGCCACTGTCCATTGGCAACCCCCAAAGAGTTAAGGACAAACTGTGAATAGGGACTAAAATCCAAAGATGTTGGATAAGAAGAAGGTTATGTCCTACAACAAATTTGGGGTTGAAGAGACTGATAGCGTATAAGATCAGAAATTAGCTGCTCATAATTATTCCTTTTCAATTATCAAAGTGGATATGTTGGTTGGTGATTAATCTACCCATGCTTTCACTGTTTTCCTCACAAGACCTTTTTTTTTTCCTCTGGGGCTATAGCTTTCTGATTAATTGAATATTTGAACCTATGAGTTTAAAGCACCAGTGAAATGTTTTTGAGGTTGCCTGATCTGGCAACTCACTTAAAAAACTAGAATAGCAAGATCAACAAGAAAGAAATATTATCTTTGGTCTTTTTTTTTAATATAAGATACAGCTATCAATATTTATTTAGTCATAATTATAACAAATGAAAACTTATTTTTAAATACAGTAATAGCTAAATTTCTTTTTGGTACACTTTCATCTATTATAATAATATATAAATTGCAAGTTTGATCATTTAATATTATGAACATTTTTGAAATACAGTATAAATTTATAATATATAATTTTTTTATTAGTTTTAATAAATTAGTCATTTAACTTGGCAAATCAGAGGATGTTATAGTCAAGAAGGGCATATTTGAATTTAAAGGTGATACAGAACTGATTAATACTTTTGAGGGTCCAACATATTTTACTAGGGTCTAGAGATGAAGTGTTTTAGGAAGAATTTCATACAACAATAATTATAATTAAAAGCTAAAAACAAAAGACAAGAAAGAACTTACTTCAGGGGAGCATCATGCTCATCTAAGCCAAAATATGGTCTATGGGACAGAAACTGTTGTCATCCCAAACAAATTCAATGATTACTTGGTACCAAGAGAAGCTTCATTGCCTTGTTGGTTATACAAGAGGAAGACAAGGTCCCCGAACTATGGCCAAAAACATATACCACATACCAAATAAGAAATTTCTTGCCAAAGTATCTATTTATCATTTCTCTTTTGTAACAGGTGCAACTTCTGTTTATATTTTTGTTACAACAACTTCTGTAATATATGGAAGATACTCCTAGTATCAGGTCAAAAACTTCAAATAAATTAGGAAGAAAGTGTATATATTAATCATTGATGCTAACAATAAGGATATCACATGGAAATAATAGTGAAGTGAACAAGTTGTGCACAATACCCACAACTCCAGATGAAAACATCCTTTTAAAAAAATATAAATAAAAAATAATGAATTAAAAGTCTGAACACACAAAATACAGCATATATCTATAATCCATTTTCTTTCAAGATAAGGTCCTCCTCAAGCCTTGCAATTTTCTGTCCATATAATTCATATGATACAGCACCAGCCACCAAGTCAAACTCAAATCTGATTTCATATGCACTATGTATCAATTTCTTCATTTTTCTATTGATGATTTATGTTTCAATTTCTGAAGGTTCTGCAGAAATTTAAGATTCCAAATTGACTGGAGAAAAATATCCTAAGCAGGAAACCTCTGAAATTCCAAACTAGATAACTGTAACAGAAATCAATGGCCAAAACAAAGACAGTATACACAACCTTTTAATTGAATGATAGTCACATTCTTAACATGATCTCTGCCTAAGCAACATCAGTTTATAGGTGGTAAATTGGTAATAATAAGCACAAGGCATTACTCCTGCAATTGATACTGATTAATGCCTTATTTTAAGTTCTAATTTCTTTTCTTGAAACTACTTTCTTATATGTCTTGAGCCAGTTCCACATGTAGATCAATGTTGTTTAATTAGTCATTTAGTGTAAGCATCTCAATGATGTAGCCTAATACTACAACTAAAAAAAGGGTAACTTGTACCAAATAATAATAATAATATAATGATATGCATTTTGACATGAGGACATTCAATTTGAATGGTAGTCCCCCCTAAAAATTTTAGAGAAAGTGAATTTAAGAACCAGGAGAAAAAAGTTCCACCATTTTTAGACAGTTCACTCCGTATAATACTGTTTAATTTGTCTTTCCATAGATAGGCTACAAGATAAGCATTGCATTTCTTCAGGCCAACCTTCACTTATTTCTGAAATACCAGTAAATAACAATCAATCACATTTTATTTTCAATTGTGGTAGGTACCCATCATATTAAAAGACTTAACATGCCTTTTTTTCTTCTGGCTAACTCTGAATTTAATAATGAAAAGGTAGGTTATATTCTTGAATATTTCCATTGTCCTCATGCACAACTAAGAGGCAGTTGCTTCAATTTCACTTCAACATCTAAAAAGTATTGAAAGTAATCAATTGTTTTAATAAAAAAAAAACTTATTATATAATGTAAATATTAAATAAATCATTTATATATTTAGTATCTTGAAAAAATTAATATAATTTTTCAATCAATTGTTTTAACATGTGCTTAAAAATATACAATATTATAATAAAATTTGTCTATGTTATTTCAACTTAGCTGATAATAAATATTATAAAATTTAATATATTAGTAACATTATATATTTAAATTTTTTTAAAAATTACTAATTTTTATTTATTAACATATGTTTGAACCCATTTAAAAAAATCTTCATTATTATTTAGAATTATTGAAGAATTTATTAGAA